CCTCTTAACCTTGCGTTGTTCGAAACACATATCTGCATTTAGCCTGGGGGATGATTATTTACATAACGACGTCAATCTGCTGGGATTCCGACGGCTTGGGACAGTTTCCCCAAGCGAATTGACTTGCTTGGGACCACTAAAACGACTCGGTTCCAAATTGGATCTTCAATAGCATCTGGAACATACATTACATATGCACGCGGTAAGGGGGTTTAAGGGAAAAAAAAAACACACTGACGAATTCTGCATAAACAAGCCGTTTTCCAGTAGCAAACGATGCCCAATGGCGAAAGGTTTGCTCGAACTAGCGTAATGCAGCTCATCGTCTACCTATACCGAAGATGAGGAAAATTAGGAAGACTAAATAAGTAAACACAGACTAGGTACTTAGGCATTATGGGTATTGTGCAGTAATAGTAGTTAGTCCTTTCAAGGTTATTCGGTCTGACGCCTTTGGGGAGCCGTCTTCGCCGAATTTATTATTGTTTGATGAAATTATGTTATTTTACTTTTAAGTTACCTACGGCTTATTATTACTACGGTTTACATATTATGAGGCCCGGGCGGCCGATGCCGAATCTTCCTAGATTTTTAAGCAAGTCATCATCTTCCCTGCCGTTTTAATTCCCCTGCCCTATTAGCAGAGGTTCGTTATTAGACCTGAGCAGCCGGTGCTGGGACCCGGTGAGCTGTCAAATGCGGGTAGGCTGGTAGGTGTACGGCTAGGTTCCTTGCACAGGAAATATACGGTACGGCCCAAAATGCGGCCCAAAACATGTCCACAAGATTTACACATGTACTTGCTCCATGTATGCTGTATGCAGTAGCAACAGTTACACTAGGTTGGGTACACGAAAGCCGATACCTCCACATCGAAACCGGCCATGTATTGTGTAAGGCAGGTAAATCGGCGCATCTCTACGAGAACATAACCTCCGAGGGGAGTAAATCTCGTTGATCATTAGCTCCATATAGTCAACGAACCGATGGAGTACCTACAAATACAATACTAGGTAATTCGGGGACCGTAGTGTTTCTTCAGATAGTGCACATAAGAACCCAGGGGTGGCTTCGGACGCTTAGACTCGTTAGTCCAAGTAAAAGTGCCTCGCGGATCGTCGCAATCAGATTCCGCGGTCCAATAATAAGCTTCAATTCCGAAGCCATAATAGTACCATAGCACTGAAGCCGTGGGTGCTCTGTAGTGCGTTTTGCTTCGAGGTTGCTTTTGTGGCTTACGTATTTAAACCCCCCCCTTTTCCGCGTCTAGTGAATACCTACGCGGACGATATTTCAAAGGTTAGGCTAGGTTAGGTACCTACTGTAGAGGGGACGGGGAAGCTCTTAGGTAGGTACCTAACTGGAGAAAACTATTCGAGGTCGAAGTGGAGAGCAATTTCGTATTATCCACGTAATTGGGGGCGTATTAGTGCATTTTCACAGCGAGGATAAAGTAGGGATACCCGGAGTATTGGATATGTAGAACGCGTTAGAAACGTGTTAGGAAATAAGCTAGAAAGAATTGTTTCTCATTGCCGAAATTGCATATCATAATGTAGTGAGGTAACTGAAAAGGAGAGAGGGCATCGAGAGGGCATTGGAAGTGCATCGAGACAGAGAGGTATCTGTTTACGATGGACCCAAGCTCTTGGGTCTGTCCTGTCACAATCACCCACGCTGTCACGCCAACACAGCATAGGTATAACATTCGCCGGTTTTGAAGCCGTTGTGCCTGCATCTTATGTACGAAGATGCAAGGTATATCCCAGAAGGACGGTTCTTGTTTTCAAGCTTATGGCATATTCCGCGGCCGAATTAGTTGTTTCTTTATCAGCCATCCAGTCAGCCAAGCTGGCCAAGCCAGTTTGTTATTAGTCAATGTCAGTGGGCTTGCTCCAAATGTCGTCAACGCTTGTTGCCCCTACACATGTACCTACATTAGGTAGATAGATATCCATTGCATGTCGTATGTACCTATCTAATGTCGTATTGATCCACTGGAACTAGATGCGAAAATCGCACTTGTGCTGTGTGCTTCAGCTGTAGCTCAGTTACCAACTACGCATGTAATGTAGCAGGTGTAGAAGAAAGTTTGCATTAAAAGGGATTAGTATTTCCACGTTGAGATGCTGACTAGGGTGACCAACAAGATTGTCAACCTCCTTTTGGCTGAATACTTTCTTGATAAATATCAATTCGGGTTTGGGCTTTTCCAAAAAGGAAATGGGCAAAAAGTAAACACCTGCAACTTGGATGAGAACTGTGCTCATACCCTTGTCATAACTCGCGTGTTAGGATGCTTGAAACTTAATTTGGACCCTAAGGGTTAAACTAGCCTTGGAGAAAGGTAGGTTTTTATAAGTTTTCATACCTCTAGGTAGGTTTTTAAAATTGCTTAGATCTGACCATCTATCGACTATATCGTCGCTTAGATCATATGGTGATGGCGCGGTGCTTTAATAATAATTTGATAATTTGCAATAATAAATTTCTACATAATAGAATAGACTTAATGTCATTCCCTTTTTATTATTAAGGGCAGGTAAACAAACGATCGACGGGTCTCCGGTCCCTTAGAATGTATTCTCGATGCGTCAACTAATATGAGAAACGGTGGTGCCGTCGAGGCTAGCTTTGACAGGCAGTTAGCAACGATATAAATTCCTTGAAACTATTAGTACACTGCCCCCTCTTCTAATAGGTTGATCCACAGCTTATACTACATCTATGTATGGTCCACGGCAATTGAGGCGCGATGGAGCCGTCGAGGAAGATCCAATCTGCTAGTTTTCGTCTGACGTTAAGATACAGGTAGTTGACGCCCCCCTTCCTCTGCTTTGCGTTTGTTTCGTTTCATGTTTCTACTCTTAACTTCCAAATTCGATCTCCTGGCGGGCGAAAAGACGACACTTATACACACTTGCATATATCTCTACCTACACATTTACAGCTCACCTGGCGAACCGAAGTCGAACCAAAAGACGACAACCAAAGCAGGCTGGCCTGTAAAGTCGGATATAAAATAAAGAGGGCGTACCCAAAGAAGCATAGAATTATTATACACGCGTGTTTCCTGCATTTGTACCTAAATTACCTCCTATGTTTAACTGCGGTGTCGCGTCATCTTTCAACTTTATACGATAAAAAGGTACGTCTTCAATATTTCGAGTCGTGATATTTCATATCGTTATTTTCTACCTACGTTGTCGTAACTGCGAGAGACTGCATTGCATGCATGGTACTTGTACCTGGTATATATCAGCTTGTCTTTTAATATGCATGTTTTTATTTTAAACCGTCGAATGAGTGTTCGAACAAGTCTGAGACGGGGGCTTTTTAAGGCAAAGCTTTGTGGACTTCTCCTGTTTCGTATTCCCACTACGGCACTACGTACACAGCAGAGGACGGGAATGGAATTGCCTACTACTGTACGAGCGTACCAAATTTGGCTGTAGCTAGACTGCAGTGTAACAAGGATTCATCCTCAGTGGGGAGAGAGAACGGGGGTTGCAGGGGACATCAAGACCCTGAATGCTGGTAAATTTGGGCGGGAAGTACGAAGAGATGCTGATCATCGGGAACCCGTTCGTACGAACGCCGCTTCCTACCTACTTGAAGTCAAGAAGAGAAAGTGAGTGAGGGGAAGAGACAGTGGCAGCAGCAGCAGCAGCGGCGGCGCAATGGCGTAGGCTTAAGCGTAATCGTCACGATGTTGTGCGCAAGCATAGTCCCCACATTGCCAGGCTTATTTTATACAATATTATATCGTATCCTATCCTTCTTTCTCTCTAGGCTTTTTAAATGTGGCTTTACCTCATCAGTTGTTGATCTGAATCTTATTAACCCAGCCCAGCCCAGGTACAAAAAAAGAAAAAGCAGATCTGACGGGTGCCACGCCAGATCGACTCCTCGAACACGAAGCTTATTATCCCCCGCCCGGGTTATCGAATTGACATAACTACTTGAGACAAATGTGTTTTTTTTGGAGGAAGAATTATAAGTGACTAAAACTATTGTGGCCGAAAACAGATATCGCGGCTATCGATCGTACTTCGAGTTATCGTCGACGGGATATTAGTGATCTATCATTGATAGTAAAAAAGTTTCCGGGAACAGAAGAAAAAAAGGGTGACAACTATCTGATTCTCCGGAACGTATCCGAGTTTCCTCACCCCAAAATTCCATCTAATCCCGTTATATGACTGGTACTTGGCCTTCCCGGACGCCTCTTGATTGTACCTGCATATTGTACAGCCAATATATCAGCATCGAGTTGCCTGGTTTCCTAATTGCCGGCACCAACGAGAGTGTTTAGATCACAGCATCGGATCCGAATATCGACTTTTATACCCTGGAACGAGACGCAGCCCCCGGGATCACATAACGTTTCCGGCCTGTGCTGTGTATCGTCGAGCTTGACGAGCACCAATAATATCTCTTTAGAATTCTTTCATACTGTTCTCAAGTGTGAACTATCACAAAAGCTGAACTGCAAGCCTGGTCGTATTCGGGGCTTGAGGAAATATGAGTTGCGAATAGGAGTCGCCACACTACCCATATTGACACATTAACGTCTATTGAAGCATTGGACTTACATATTTTATGTTTCTTGCCCCGGTCCCGGTCCCGGTCCTTCACGATTTGTTTTCTTTATTGCTATTTCATCCATTTGAGCCGGAACAAGATAGCAAGCCCGGGCTGTTGGCATACGGAAATTCAAACCGGGCCACAGCTAAGCTGCCAAGGGGATCCAGCTAAAGCCGTAACAGGACGTTCTCTCGTTTTTACCGACCAACGACCCCCTTCACCCCTGTCTATATTAGAGGTACCCTTGGTACCCTTGTTACATCTATTACATCCAATCCTACCCTCGACCAAAACAGAGTTGCACCTTAGTTACATGATAATTCGAGGTACATATTGACAGGCCCCCATCCACTATATCTCCATCGCGTCAGTTCTTTTATATCCATAGCCAATCCCCCTAACGGAAACAGAGGTGGCCTGCCACACCGCCCCCACAGTTTTCTCTCGTGGCTATCTGCGCACTCGCAGAGCCTCTCACGATACTCGAAAAGTATTCGAATCAACAACGACTCGGGAACTTTGAAAAAAAAAAACCCCCCGAGTTGGGCTGTTCGACTTTCATCGGTACGTGGGAATAGGCTGGGCGCATCTTCTTTGCATTAGGCGTATACAAAAAAAAGGGAAAAGAAGAGAAAAAAGAATTAAAAGGAGGAAAAATGTATTCGTCAATGTCTTCTCACTCATACGATAGGGAGCGCCCGAGAGCTACGAGTAGTGCTCTTTCTCATGCTAATGAGAATAGCTACTCTTCGACGAATCTTGCTGCTCCTCACGCGCCGATGTACCAACGCTCCCACAGCATCGGCGACATTCGTGAACCAATGATGGATGCACCACCTTCGCCTGATCGCATCCGAGTATTCAGCAGTCATAAGAAGCGCAACTCGAGCATTGACAAGCACCGAAGCGAACTAACGATGTCGTCCGGATCGTCCTCGCGTCTCTCGGGAGCGTCAGATCGGCAATCGTGGAACCAGAGCCGGGAGAGTCTCGGCTTGTCGAGGAACCCGTCTCAACGATCTTCTACGGGTACGGGTACAGGTACAGGTACAGGCACGGGTACACCGTCGCACGAACGGCCTGACAGCTTGCAATTCTTCGGAAAGGGAATTTTTAGTCGTAGCAAAGGTAAACTGCGCAGAGGAAGTAGTGACCAGGGTGGCTCCCACAGCTCGTTGGACGTGACCGAGGTACCGAACGAGTCTAAGGAGCAACATTTCATCCAGTCCGTGTTCACGCGACGAAGGGCGTTGAGAGGGGAGCCGGGCGCGTCGACCCAAAGGAAGTTGCAGATTTCGGGACCTTATAACTTCCAGCATCTCACGCATACGCATAAAGATAGCGTGCCTAACCTGGACCAAGCGAATCGCTTGGAGCTCGTGTCGGAATTTGCGGGTATGCAAGTAACAGGACGACGACACACCGAGGCGTTTTTGGAGGGCATCCCACACGGGGAGTCGCGATACCCAACCTTCTCCGAGACCTCATATCACCAGGAAGATCCGTCGTCAGGGCTCAACGCCGATGGACCACACTTACGAGCATCAAAACCGCCTCCGTTACCCCCGTTGCCACCGATACGATTAGCGAAGCGTTCTCAATCACAGGATAAGATCCGTGTTCCACCGCCTCGCCCGCCTAGATCACCGATAGGAGAGAGTAGCATGATGCCTCTGGCACAGCAACAGCAACAACAACAGGTACCACCCACACAACAAATAAATCACCCTCCAAGGACGTCTAGTCGGACTTCGGTAAGACATGATAGGTTTGGCTCAGTGTCAGGCGCGTCTATAGAGCGCTCTGGATCGAGCTTCAGCTTCCGAAACCCCCAACCGTTCGCTCCTAGCTCGCCGTCACGAGCTCAAACTCCGCACGCGCCGCTGGTCTCACCTGTGATGGAATCGGAGTACGAAGAGCCGTCGCCGTTGTCTAAAGTGCCTCACGCCGTCACCACGGCGGATGACGTCGCCTGGCCCTTAAGCAACAGCATAAGCTCCTTGCCGGACGTCCCCGAGGAGGAAGAGCACCACGCGCAGAGCCGACCGCCTCGGTCCCGGATGAGCGTCGCGAGCAATTCCTCTTCTCTCAGGGGCAGCGTCTCGGTCCCGCTGCTGCGCCAGTTCTCCCTGACTCGGGTAACTAGCAACGCCTCGGACACCTTGGGCAAATTCGAGTTCAACTCCCAGCCCACGACGCACGCGAGCACGCGCGACTATTCGATGGACGGCATCAACGGCGACAGCTGGGAGGACGATATCGATTACTGCTACGAGCACGAAGCCGAGGCCAACTGCGACTACGCCTGGGAACGACCGTCGTGCGATATCCGATATCCGGAAGAAGTACGGGGTCGGTCCTTGGGCGGCGACCAGACCCAAACCGTTCTTACCTACGGCCGTCTTTCGGACGGCTTCCTGTCTCCCGTAAGTGCGGACGTTCCCATTCTAAGCCCGGCCAGCCATATGTCCAGCATGACGGCGCAAGAAGCCCTGACGCCGAACCTGCCCCCTCTGGTGACCTCCAACTTCTCGCTCCCGCGGCGGGAGAGCTCGGCGCAGCTCCTGCACGAGCACGAACGGGCGCAGACCCCCGAGCGCAACTTCAAGGAGGCGCAGGCCTTCAGCCTGTCGCCGTCGCTGCTCATCCCGGACGACTACCACCAGCAGATGCTGCAGTACGAGCGGGAAGGGCTCGAGGACGACAGCGACGAAGACGACGAAGACGACGGGCTGGTTATCCAGGGAAACACCCTCGACGAGCCGATCATCCGGTTCGGCAAGAGCCTCAAGCCGTCGAACGCGCGGTCGAGCGCCTCCACGACCGACTCGCGGTTCTCGGAGCACTCGATGACGTCGAGCCGGCACAAGTCGACGACGTCGACGTCGACGGCGTTCACGCGGTGGACGGGCAGCAGCATGTCGAGCTGGCAGGGGCGCGACTCGACGCAGCACATCGCGCAGCTGTCGTCGAAGGGCGCCGGGGCCGGGGCCGAGGGCGGGCCCGTGGTCGTCGTCTCGCCCACGCAGGCGACGGCGCCCCCCATGACGCCCATGACCGCTCTCAGGTTCGACGAGGAGGTCTCCCCGAAGCAAGAGCCCGCCCGCGAGAGGCACGGCAGGACCCAGTCGCACGCGGGCCTCCTCACGAGGTCCAACTACGACGTGCCGGTCCCCGCTGCCACTGCCGCTGCTCCGGCGGCGAAGGAACAACAACAATCACAACAACAGCAGCCTCTTCCTAAGACCCGTCGACGCGCTAGGACTACGAGCCGAAGCCACGCGGCTCCGCTCGCTCTATTCCCGACCGTCACTCCCCTCCCCGGAGGCCGAATCTGATCCCTTAATCCCCCTTCCCCCCCTCTAATTTCTGGGTCCTAGCTAGGAGGTAGCTTTACCTGTTTTAATGAGAGATACCTGTTTTTATATATATACCTACCTTTTACTGTATTGTACTCGAAGCGATACCTACCTAGATACATACTACCTACGTCCTATACATATCATACCTACCTACCTTAGGTACCTCCTATATAGGCACCTATCTATCTATCACATATATATTACCTGTCCTCCTACCTTAGTATCTCACCGAACGCCAACGCTCTCTACGCCATCTTTCTTACCCTTTATACCTGTCGCCATCACCGTCATCGTCACCACGGCCTGATATACCACATTCATTCATTATCGCCACCAACAACATACACACACACACTCGCTCACTCACACTGTCGGATCTCAGTTCCGCCTCGAACCAAAAAAAAGCATTTCCTTTTCCCTGCTGGGGGTGTTCTCGGATATAGACAAACCACCATCGTCATCATCATTACCATCGCGGCCTTCGAGCCAACCGGAGTTCTCAGGGGCGGACACGACCCCGCGGCTTTTTTTGTCATCTTATTTACCTGGTTAGGTACTTTTTGTCATGTTTGCAGTTGGAGGCCGGGGAACGGGGGGGATATACCACTGCCACCACCACCGACAACAACAGCATCACCACAACTGTCTACGTTATTGTATTGATTGATTGATATAGACCACGCACGGCTCTGCATTTTTCTTATCGCATTGGTTTCTAATTTTGGGTTTTAATTTAATTTATTTTTTTAACGAAGGTTGGGGGATGGGGGAGAAAAAAAGGACTGCATTGTTGTATACCTTGACCGGCTGCACCTTTCCCGCTCCGCATCAGTCGTTTCCGCGCATATTTATTTACCTAGGTACCTTGCTTTGTTTTTTTGTTGTTTATCATCGACACCATCACCGCAACCGTAGAGACAGCGACGGGCAACTGAGAACCTTTTCTTTTTTTTTTCTGTCTATTTATTATTCCTTCTGTATTGTTTTTTGGTTCCTTCTCACCCCCCCTTTTTTTTCCTGCATAGAGAAAAGTTAAAAGAGAAAGAGAGGGTCGGGACCAGGTTTTTTAAAAAAAAAGTTGTTATTATATTTGTTTAGTGCGTGTTGGAGTTTAAACACTTGTTTTTTTTTGGTTATTCTGTCACTCTTTTTTCTTCTTCTCTAGTTGTTTTTTTTTTCTGATTTGATTTGCTTCGATGGTTTTTCGTTTGGGGATACGATGGTTGGAAAGTACCTTACCTACTAGGTACCTAATCTGAGGTATACATATACACATACCTTATATATACCTAACACATATGTGTATGTGTGTGGGAGCGTTTGTGTATATCAAATACGTCGTTCGTCATAGAGAAGAAGAAGAAGAGACATAGAGCGACAGCGGGCGATACACATACAACATACAAGTCTACGTTTATTTTTTTGTACCAGGTATACCTACCAGGTTATCTCGAGGTATTATATTCGCGGCGGACCGAATCCGCTCTTCGTCGCCTGCGCGTGACGAGTTACATACCTATTACCTCTTCTGTACCTATTTAGAACGATAGTGGTGCGAGAGGCACTCTCGAGGGGCTGCTGCTGCTGGGGTTGGAGAAGAAGTTGGCGAGTCGGTATGAAACTAGGAGATATAGCGAGCTTTTATCTGACCGTCTTGGATGAAGATATTAGGTTAAATCTAAAGCTATTTTCCCCTAAATATGACCGACCAAACCTGAGTTTTGTGAATGATAAATCATAAACGACCTCTTAAAGTACCTTCTAGTATATCCTTAATACCTAATAAGAAACATCTATGAAGTTGAAAACTCTTCGCCTACGTATAGTATAAACTACGAACTGTACTTCAAATATCTACTCAAACTCGATGCTTATAGAGTTCAGCTGTACAAGTCTCATCTTTTGTATAACCTCAACATGAAAAACTAGTGTAAATATTCATCTTATTTCAACTACTAGTATATCAATATCGAAAAAGCCCATTAGTACACCCTGTATTTTTCCTTCTCCAATGCAATGCTTTAATTCCTCCCATCCCTTCGCTACTCCAGCCAAATATGTATATCTTGGGTACTGTATGAGGTATGTATATATGAACTCAAGCGCTAATTAGGCTGCCGGCGCTGCTATTCTTGTTGTTGTTGTTATGGTTGTTCTATTTCCCAGTGCGGCACAATGAGGATTTATCGGCTTTCAAGGCTACCTCGACTCCCCGAACTCCAAATATGTGTAGGCATGTATTGAAAAAAAAAGGGGTGTAAATGCTCAGAACAGAACAGAATAAAAAAACGACCGTAACCAACGGTAGAGGCTACCCAAAGCAAGAGAGCTTCGTATGGTATCCAATTATTCTTTATAATCCATCTCCTATGTCTAGCGAGCTTCCGTCTTTATACATCAGGGGTCCTTCCTTTATGTGCCTGTCTGACTTCGAGGGCGAATTATCGATTACTTCATTTGAATATACCCGGCTGCTTTGACAGGGTCAGCCCTTTTTCTTTCTATTCCTCCTATCCTATCCATCTATCTTCATCGTCTTCTTGCTCATCGTCGTGGTCATTCCTAGCGTCGCTGTTGTCTCGATCTCTATTAAGTCGGCTCGTCAACGCGTTGAGTTTCCCTTTAATGAAGCCCGGACCCGTCGACTTCCGCCTTCCTCTATTTTCAATCATAGTGAAGCCGCTAGTAATAGTAACACCGCTGCTAGTGGTTGGTCGGAACGGACTTGAAGAACTTTCTGCGCTTATACTCGCGCTGGTTTTTGGTCGAGGTATGTCAAATCCTAGACCACTATGCGTACGGTCTATGGGTGTTGGAGGTGTCATCTTGACGAAAGAAGGCACAGGTGGCATGCTTCTGTTTTCCGCGCCATTACTAGGTGCATGATTGTACGAGTGGGACGAGGCTAGACTAGAGCTCCTACTAGATGGTCGCTGCGGCACTGGCATGTTTGAATGTGCGCTTCTTATGCTCCTCGGCGGTGATCGCGAGTAATCAACAGGGCTCGTTCCGTATAAGCTTGCCGAATCGTCACTATTGTCGCCACTATTGTATATGCTTGGCGTTGCAAGGAGAACGCTACTGGTTGCTAGCTCACGCAGCTTGTTTTGCTGTGCCGTAGTAGGTCGATGCTTGCTGAACTTATTGCCAATAATAGCACCTGTGTGAGAGATAAGCGCCTTGATCACGCGGGATTTGAACGCCAGGGCCAGATCAAGATTGGACCACGTCTTATTACGGTATTCGATAGTTGGCAGTCGGAAGACGAAGTCGTGCACATCTTCGATATTTCGGTCGCCTTTGCCCTTGTAGCTAAGGCAGAGTACAACCGATGGCAGCTTGATATACGCAAACGTTACGTAGTTGGAGGCACGTGCGATCATCTTTGTCAAGTCGTCCGAAGGCTTGTCATCTGCATTACCAGTTTTCCGGGAGAGACCGAACCGTCCACCCTTCTTGTTTTCGGTGGTGTTGCCTGTGCCTGTGCCCATGGTCGCCGCTCGTCCAATTCCCGTCTTTTGCGAAGCGTTACCCGACTGAATAGATTCGTAGGACGGCTTCTTAGTGACCGTTTTAGAGCCAAAGAGCCGGAACACGCTATTACCATCACCCGAATGGACGCTTATGGCCTTGGGTTTCTGATCACTGTCTTCAGGCTGGCGCGAATCCAAGGTCAGAGTAGGGCGAAGGCGGAGTTCCAATGACCCAGCCCGCGTAGAAAATGAAGGATCCTTGTCAGACGTCGCAGAACCAAGCCTACTGGAGCTAGACATGGTCTCGTCGGGCGCATCGTCTTCCTCCGTCTCGCCAGGGAAGGTAGATCTCAAAATAAATGGCGAGTCAGAGTGCTCATCGGCTTTGTCTTCGTCCATTCCAGGGAATATGTATTCAAAGAGTTTCTTTCCAACTTCATGTTCAAGCTGGATTCTCATGGGAAATAGGTTGACCTCGAAATGGTCCATCACGGGGATACCTGCTATAGCCTCCAACATGTGCCAGTAGACACGAACCATCTGCTTGCCATCTAGACCGGCCATGGCTGCCTTCTCGTCCTCAAAGTAGGGAGCGATCATTTCCGGGTAGATTGCATCTGGCATAAGATTCAAGCCTAATACCTTGCCCACTTGCATCAAATTTATATGCGATCCGTCCGAGTTGTCAGTTCGGTCATACTCGACGTCTCTTAGCTGCAGTTCGACGAGGGGCTCATTGTTGTCACGGATGAGATGCCAAACGATTTCCTTGGCTGAAATAGTCCATCTCAGCAAAGCATTACTTTGGGAAGCATTATCGTACTTTCGCTGCGAGGTAGTGATGGCTTTCATCACGAAGAACAGCTCGTCCTCGCACGCTGCGAGATCACGCTCCAGGAGTAGTCTATCCTGCCATCCTTGCTTATCTAAGTACTTCGAGTGGATTTGGAAGTGTGCTTTGATATCCTCCAGTTGGCGAATACGCTCCTGCAGTCGAGTAACCATTTCTGGAGTTCCTCTAAGGTCACTGAAGTCTGAGGCCAGTATAATCTTCTCTAACCTCTCATTCCTTGTCTTCTCAAGAGGTTCGCTGTATAGCAGGAGGTCAAGCACGATGACGTACATGGCATAGTATTGCGACGAATTGCAAAGGGCCCTGGCTTGAGGGAAGTCGACCCAGAGACTATCCATTCTGCTCTCAGTGCTCTCTGTCGATAGAGGGTTGGATTCGGTATTGACTTCGTCATTGTACTTTAACCGAAGGGTGTTGAACTTATCGTACCTCAGTATGGCCGATGTCTCTTGTACAACTCGTTTGAAGCCAAACGGATCCGACTGGAAATCGTACATGACTTCCATAGGCACCCAAGGAGGCCATGAGGCCCCAGCAGGTGTTCCGTATGTGTTGCCCGAATACATCGACAGTAGTTGACCCGAGAACCACTTCTGATGCGTCACAAAGAACTGTGCACTATCCATCTTGAGCAAGAAACGTCGCTGGACCAATCCGCTGACCTGATCAGACAGTCTTGCCTTTTCCATAACCTCGACTACCTTCAGTTCCATTCCCTTTCCGGTAATTAGAACCACGTGTTTCTTGTTCTTGTCGCTTTGGAGCTGTATTTGCGGCGCGATAAGGCGAACATGGTATGAGTTTTGAGGAGCGAACTCGTCTGCTATACCACTAGTAATATCCTCCATATTTACATTCGTAGGGCCTTCAGTTGAAGAGTATCCATCGGCGTCAACATATTTTCTGCCATCCCTGAGGATTTGTTTGATACGATATTCGATATCCGGGTCAGCTTCACTAGACTGACTGCTACCATTTGCGGCCGAAGGATTGCGTGCATCATTATTAGGCGCGTTAGCGGACTTGCTGTTTTGCTTAGCCCTGGTCTGCTCTTCTACAATATCCAGGATAAATTTAACCGCCGGTCGGGATAAGTAATAGACGAAGCCGCGCCGTTGGCTTACTTGGTGACTATATCGGAGAATGATGTTTCGCAGTAGGTTGTTCCACTTCAGTTGGACGTTGTGGACAACAAACCTGTTCTTGAAGTCGCTCGCAAAGTCCGTTCCTGACGGTATCTTGACTTTTTCATCTCCTATATCGATCCATTCACGAGATTCGTGGCTCGTAGACTCAAAATCCTCAGGAGTGTCTTCGCTATCAGCCGACGTCTTGGTTGCCACTTGCTGTAGCATATCTTCCATGAACACATATTTTTCTTTCAAGACGTTTGTATGCCTACTTAGCGTCTCGAATTCAGCCTTAAGCTCCGGATCGTTGCCGTCATCACGGATCATGCGCAATTCAGCATCGCCGACATTGCGGGCGTTAGCAGCTATCTGAGCCTTTAGCTGCTCCAATCGAGACTGAATCAACTGGAATTGGACCCTCCTAGGATCATCGTCCTGACTCATTATACAGAAATGGGTAGGTTCGTGTCCGAAAGGACTTGTGCGATCTGGGTCTCCATCTATGATGCCGCCGATATCCGTCTGTCTGAAATACGTGACACGAGGAGCATATGCAAGCGGCAGAATCTTCGTATCCGGATTTGACTCTGAGGGTAGGATCCAGTCGAGTTCGACAAAATCATCCATGTCGATCCAGCTAAAATCGTTATCAGGAATAGTGAAATGGGAGAGATCTGTACCGTCTTCATCATGCTGGGTCATCAACGTCGAGATTGAATTCTTCTTGATGGCCTCGGTCGTCGTACCTTTGATACTAGCAGAGACAGCACGAACATCTGCGGACACAAGATCAAGCTGAGCCGCGTGAATTTTCATGCCGGTGGTTCTACCATTTGTCTTATGACCTCGATCGCGAGTATTGAATTCTTCTCGGCGCTGGTGAATATCGAGCATGAAGTTGTCAAACCTAACCTTGATACCTGTAGCTGAAACGGAGTTCTCGGTATAGTCTTCGGCATCTTTATGCTTGTATATGTGACTGAGGAACAAGGGGGCCAAGAGGAGGTTGTACTTGATTGTACCCAAATGCCTTCCGAATTTCTTGCTGTTCTTTTCTCTCCCAGGCCATAGAGAACCCTGGCGGATGGGAAGCGACATTGGACCGCTGAATAGAGACCACCAAGCAAAGAAATGAGTGAAAAATCGAGGCGTCAGATGTACCGCGTTATAACTCTTAGACGGCTGGATCTCTGACGACGCCCAATCTCGGTCGACCGGTGCTCTGATTGCAATGGAGAGATGTATGTGCTCGCTTCGGAATCCACGGAAGGCGTCGTACGGGAGAGAACTGTCTTCAGATTTGGCGTGCTGCGGAGCCTTCAAAACAACCTCGTAATGCGGCTTAAACTCGAAATTGCGCTTTCCATTTTCGATAGCCTGTTCAAAGACCAACCCAGCCAACCATTGGACGTTGCCAGAGACTTTCATGATCACCTTCTTGAATGAAGCACCGGACTTGAAGCTGCTCTCACTTGACAGACTCTCGTCTTCCCCGACTTGACGTGACGCCTCTCTGGCCTGGTGGCTGTAGTCAGGTATGGCAAGAACAAATTCGCCACTATCAACAGCCATGAATTTTTTTGGGTCGTCTTCAGTATGGACATTCCATCTGACATTGTTTCTCCAACACATTAAGAACCCTGCGCCATTGCCTATAACGTCATAAGGATCTCTAGTGCCCTTCAAAGCAAGGTGAACATCGCCATCCTCCTTCCACGCGATTCGAACTCGAGAATGGAAATTGAGTCTGATCTTATCCCAAAATCCTACCCGTTCCGAGGGGTCTAACTGGGGCTTGGTGAACGACTCAATGGCCATCATCATATCTTGAATCGCTGGTTGATACGAAGGGCACCAGGTAATCCTGGTAGGTAATGCCGTGTTGATGTCAACGTACATGTCGGAATAGGACTTCACAGGTCCAACGGTGCGACGAACATCTATGGCGAAGCTCCCATTCGGTTTTCCTGGCTCTGAGCTCTCCGGCGGGGTAATCTGGACTCTGATTCTACGGGATGATTCGTTGCCGTGGAATTCTTCTGCGATAACAAAATCTGTCTTGAGTGCCAAAGCTGCAAGCCTCGATGACTGGCCGGGCTTGGTAGCAGGAACATGAAGTAAGGGGAGAGGATAGTCCCGAAGGTTAATTCTTGCCTCGCCCATATTGATCTGGACATTCATAGGCACAAGGAGAGAATATTTCATGTCCTTAGGCATTCCTTTTCCGACCTCATGTAGAAAGTCAGGCAGCTTGTGAATTGGAAATGATGGCTTGTCAATCACTATTTGCAAATCTGTTACCAATGCTGCCATCAATGCCGGTCGTTCAGGTACACCAAGGATTTTCTCGTTGTCCTCGATATCGTCGGGAACCTGGTCAAGACCCCAGAATAAGCCGCGTAATTCCTTCGTACTATTTCTCGCCATCGTATACTGTCGATCGATACGTCTCTTCCAGCTCTGAGCGTTATGCTGATGGAGCTTAGTTCTAGCTTCCTGGATCGAGACATGCGCGCTACCACTCATGCCACGAATCGTTTCCGGATCATATCGAGGGTTCCTGCTCCTCGGTGCTTCACTGGATGATCGCTCTCCACGGCCAAATTGTGCGAGGCAATCTTCACTCTTACTTCTTCCAAAAGAAGTATTTGAAGCTGCGGTTCGTCCTCTTGTCATCACCGATCGATTCCTGATCCGGTCCGATTCTTTCCTCATTTCTTCCTCGTGGATCTTTTTCACTTTAACTCGATAAGCTTCCTCGCGGGCAAGTCGTTGCAATTGCTCAACACGCCCAGCCCTGTAGATCATGCCTAGCTTCCATTCGAAAGCACCATCTTCAAGCTCAAACAAAAGGGTACGAGTTCTTAACGAGACTTTCGGAACGTTCTTCGGGCCTTCTGGTGCCTTGTCCAGGATATATTCGTTTGTACCGGTCTTAAAGCGGTGATGTAGCTGTTCGCTCGCTTTGATAACATTGATAATATTATCGGATATTTCGCTGACAATAAGTTCATGAGGTACCGCCAGACGCATAGCCTCAGCCACTATATCAAACATTTTGTCGTCCTGAAAACCACCTGTTGACATTTTCCTGCGCGACTGCCGGTAGTCTAAGCGGATGCTCTTAATGCTTGCAACGCGTGCCCAAACACCTCGCATCCGAGGCGCACCCGCATATAGTCGGACCAATTTCGAAAAGAAAAAGGGAGGCGACCACCTGTGCCGGCCAGCTTCCACGCCATATATCTGCATCATCAAGGGGGGATCAGAAGGCATCTCAGCCTTAACTTGGATAAGCGAGGCTTTAAAGTCATATGAAACAAGCTCCTTTACGTACATCGGGAACTTGTTCATTTGATCAGCAATGGGAGAGTCGGGCGATACCAGTGGAGGACTTAAGTATCCTGTTGTCGGACTTGCTGGTGTTTGGGGCGGCAATCCCGCTCCTGGTCCCCTTGCGAATGCATTTCGCAAGACCATGACAGCCACTCCTAGGGAATAGTGTCGATACAGCGAATAATGGATAAGCAGGGTCTTCATATGGGAGTGTACGTGAAGGATAGGACCCTGAGCATCACTATGTGTCGAGAGTGCCACTTCGAAGCGGGGCATTTGAACGAACGGCTCGGCTTCCCATTTCTCAGGCGCCTCAACTATGTAAGCCTCCAAATTCCGCGTATGGAGAGTGAATCTCCGTCCATCACCCTCAACCTGCTGCTTTTTGCGTGGAGATTGCGGTACAGCAATTGAGTTCAAGAAATCTGCATCGGGTAGGAAAGATCGGCTAGCCGTACGTCTTCGAGATGCTGGCCTGTTCCGTAACGAATCTAATCTATGAGCCCGATACTCTGTAGACCACGATTCTACCTGCAGCACGACGCCTCGAGTAATTCCGGGGAAGTCTTCATCGACGCCCGTAATCTCTGCACTGAAGTCTTCGACCTGTACTGAGAAATGAAGTAGCCACGATGGTAAGGAACGAACAATGTTCCGAGATCTCTGCGTCTTTGACCCTGCTCTTTTGTCAGGCTCAACATCTGGCTTGAGCTGCCGAACAATTTGGCGCAGACCCTCAGTTATCTCTGGCCTTGTCATGCGAATCGAAAACGTCTGGACCTGGCCGTTGGCGATTACATGAACATCAGGAGTCGCCGACAATTGGACCTTGAGGTCGAACGACTCTGTCTCGATTAGGTCAAAGCGACTGCCCTGAGTGGTCTGGTAATAAAGATGATGAGTTTGAAGTCGGAAAGACGATACTAAAGAGTAGTGTAAGTCTTCAACTGCAGAATGAAAAGACTCGAGGTCAAGCGAGATCGAGGAAATAGACGAGATAATCAAGTCGAAATCATCCGGATCATTCGTCTTTTCCACTGGAGGTAAAGCTATCCTTAACACAGGCTCATGCATAGAAAACTTGATATTAGCCTTTGGCAATAAACGAGAAATGAGCATGTGTCTCTGCTGCGGTCGCGCTTTTGGCACCTTCGGTCGGGGCTGGAGAAGAGCAAGAAGTACGGGGAGATGCTTTGGGTAGAGATCCACCGAAGGTGAAGTAACGACAGAGTTCGCAAAGAGAATGTTGGCATTTCGTTCTTCGGGGCTTCCAGCGTCAGAGAGCTCTACAGTCTTCGAGGGTAGTGTCGTCTTTACAGTGGTAGTAGCCATAGGAATATACACTATCCTTTCTGGTCTGCCATTACCATCATCAAGTCCAACAGAGATTGATAGGGCCGCGGCCAAGGCTTCGTGAGCAATGTCCTTTGAAGGAAAGTACATGCGATGTGCCGGGGACTTGGGATCTAAGCGATGCAAGTCTATACCGACCTCCTTCATGGACGCATTCAGCAACAAAGGCGAGCCAGCTGATTTCACAACATCTACCTTCTTTGTGAGACTGACGAAGCTCACTGCAAATTGGACCTCCTTAATTCCCCGAAGTATGGAGCTCACGAACTCTTTAGAGTCGGACACCGTTTGTATTAACTCTTGATCCGTACTACCTGGCTGATCGATTTCTTGCAACACCTTGTCAACCGAAACCTCGATCGACTCAGCTTGAGTGTACGTATTCGAGTTTTGGCGCTTGAATTTCTGAAAACGCTCAATACAGCTTCGTACATCGTCGTAGGGAATATGCAATCTCCCCAATTTCAGTGCGATGGCTGCATCCCGTAAACCATCCAAATTCTCGTAGAGGAATCCATGGATGTTCAGCGTAGCACTGTCCAAAATCTCAATAGCCTCGGATCCCTTGGCTGTGAACAGGATACTTCGCAGTGTAACGATCCATTCAGCGGAATGTTGTTGGCGTTGCTGGTCGGATCTCGGCTGGAAGAAGAAACGTGCGCGGTCCACCATTCGATTTCGAGTATCCAAGCCAATTGTGAAGCTACCAAATTGTATTTTCCCAACATCCACGACGTTAAGCGTGGAGTCTGTGGCCATAACATCAACCATACGAAGCCATCTGACATTTCGGTGGAGCTTCTTCACGCGGTCCTTGATCTTTGTGAGCTGTTTCCAAGTGGCACTACGAGCAGCCTCAAAAGCAGCTTGCCTAGAAAGGGGTTTCTTGGGTAGAGCTTTCGTGGTGGGGGATGGCTTTAGTCCTTTACCACCATCTTCTTCACCCTCGCTTTCGCTAACGTCAACCCCGGTGTGCTTCTGTCTTTCAAGTGCCTTAATATCCACGGTTACGGCGAGTTCGCTCACGACGATGCTGAGCCAAGTCGGTTGGGAGAAAGTCGGACGGTGGACGTTAAGACCCAGGCCTCGGATCTCGATTTTGATGCCATCTTTAGGGGTATAAGCCAGTCGGCGGAGCGAGATGTATCCAAGTCGTTGTATAGATACACCGGTTACGATACGAATTACAGCGAACACGACAAAGGACGAGAGGTATAGGAGGACGACTACGCCAAAAAAGAAAGTCGGATTTAAGATTGCCATGACACCTTAAGCAAGGCGCGTCCCGCGTTGCTAACTTAAGAATATGATATTAGCATAATGAACGAGACTAGATGTCTTACTTTGTCCTTACATTGTCTCTTCACGTGTTTGCGCTCCCTGCATTATCCGAATAGTTGAGTCAGGCTCTAATCCATATCGTGGCTTGTCGAGGTTGGAACGGCGTTAAAGATAAAGACACGGATAGCTTTGTTCTATAAGGTATGGGTAATAATCGAACGTGGACTTGGTAGTTATTGATCTCCGGGTGCGTCCCTTCTCGGATTTGTAGATAGCTATTCGTAGGCTGAACAGTGCCTAAGCTCTAAGATATCTAGAACTAAAGTATTGCAGCTGCTACCTCTGGTAAAGGGATCGCAAATCGTGACAAATGGGAGGAAGAATTAGAAAAAGGCTACGATAGGAAAGAGATAGGGAAAGGAATGGGTAAGGGTATGCACGTCACAATGCAAGCCGCATTGGTGGAAATCACACGCTAAAATAAGGGTTGTACAGTGTACATAGTACTACAATACAAAAGAGACGAAAAAAACCCCTAACTGAGGTGGATTGTAACTGGTATTAACCCACTTAAGTCTAATAAGTTAATAATAACTCATGGTACTTGCGTAGACTCTAGGAGAGAAAATAGGGAATGGTTAATAAAGAAAATAAAATAACTCACATCAATAACAGGAAGGGAATCTCTCAAAAGTAGCCAAAAGGGGGGATGTATTGTATTGTATTATATTGTACTTTAACCTGTCAGCCCTACCTGACATCTTGCCTACATGGTAAATCCAGGCTGCCAGGTCCCTAACACCAGGTACCTAAGGTACCTGTACTGCCCGGCGTGTCACATAAATTCAGATCAACCACGGGCATGCAGTCATTCCATATCTACCTCAGGTATATCTATAATGCAGATAGAGTTTTTATTTTGAGCTTTCCATTTTACGAAGTACATTATCTCGTTTTCTTTGGGAATTATAATACTAATAAAATGAGCAAACTTCGGTTCCTCCCGTCCCGCAGTTCTCCAGTGTTCATTCAACGCGTTCAATTATTAGTGGATACATCCATCTTAATCTGAGGCAATGGATATACTCATTTCACTTTGACTCTCTAAACTCCGAGGGGCTCAAAAGAATCTCCTATATAACCTAGATAGGTAGGTACCCGTTATGTAGGTAATAATCTGTATTAACAATCAAGCTGTACAAATTCAACTTATGTTAAAACGTTCTCACCGAGTCCCCTATATATTGCCAAGGGGTGTAAAAAAAATCGCTTGATGTTTTCCCCCACTGAAGTCAGCCGCGTAACTCCTTGCATGCTTCCAGAAAATGACTAGTTGCCCCCTGAGTAAAATCGGCGTTGTCGAGTTCCCATAAATTACCTATTACAGTGCATCATCGATGCCCTAGCTAGAGCTTTGACCGGATAACCTCTAGTCTATACTTAACGTCTTTGAGTGCTTTAGTGCTAGGCGACCAATTGTCAAACTGCTTCAGCAGCTCCGTCGTCTCCGAGTATAATTCTGTCTTCACAAACTCCTCTTCTAGTAGCCCACGCATAATCCAAGGTAGCATAAAAGGATTGGGATTCGCCAATTTCTCCTGCCTCTGAATTTGACATGGAACACCAGTAACACTGGTAGTCTCGAGAGCGTGTGAAATTGCCAAGCTTCAGTGTGTTATGTTAGTAATGCCTCAGCCATTCACGAGTAATTCTATAAAAAATAAATAAGAACTCACTCGTAAACTTGTTCGTCGTCGTAAAGCCTCGAATGACCTTCTCCAGAATAGAGACTCCCAGCTAGTGGTATAGAGAGCTCACGGATAAGCCCGTGATCTGATATACCCAAGTTCCGCAATTTCAGCGCAAACCCAACTAGGTGAGCAATAAAATCAGGAGCGTGTATGCGTCCATCTATGAACACAGCGCGGTATATGTAGGGGTGTGAAGCTGGCGCATAGATCGCGGAGTCCATAGGAACCAATTGGTCGTCAATGCTACCAATATACTACCACGCTTAGTATTCGTTACAACCAACTGCTAGGAGTGCGATATAATACTTACGGTGATACGAGCTCCATAATTAACGACTGCTTCAACTGCATGCTGATATCTCTTAGATACTTCACTTTCCGGGTCGGCAAACTGCCATAGTTCAGCAGCGGTGCCCATCAGCCCTACAATGTCCTATGTTAGCCATATTTAGGTACTAACAATCATAGTAAATACTTACTGCCCATGCTGGACTTGTAATCGGGGAAAGGCCCAAGTGAAACTCCAGCTAATCGACAAAGTTAGCAGCCATTATTACATTGGTCATCATGTATTACTTACCCATAGCACAAACTCCGATTTTGGAGTTGGTAATAATACCCAAATCTATTAGCTTTTCTAGAAGCATTAGGCCAACAGGAACACCTTGAGAATGGCAGGCCAGAACAATAAGGTCGGCCCCCCGGATATGCTCTATCCAATTTAGGAGGAGTTTCCAGAGGTTATCAACCCTATCTGCAATCTTACCCTCCCCTTCGAGAGCAACCTTTTCGATCTTACAGTCCCCGCAGCCATGACTTTCAGCCCACCTTCGTATTGCTTCGGCGCCATGATTTGCAAAGCGAATCGAGGTTCCCGTCGGCTGGCCTATCATCGGTCTTAGATACGATGCCGGGAAAAGGCCGTGGATGCCAATGACAACGGCTTTCTTTATTTTGGGTGCTTCTTTAACAAGGAATACATGATTTGCGGGAGGCTGTTGCGTTCGTAGTAGCAGCTGTGTAATCTGCTTGACTATTGACGGGTTGTTTTTCATGCGATATGTATTACGAAAGGAAGGTAAAAGTAAGTTCGGTGCAGATGGTTTGCTTGGCTCCGGAACGGGTAACTTTGATGGCACAGTCTTCACAGACACGTCTGACTGCGGAGTACCTGGTCTAGATATCTGTTCACCAATATTCATAGACTGCGGTCGTGCTCTCTTGCTCTTCTTAGACGAATTCGCCCTAATAGGTGGCTCCTTTAATGTCTTGGTCGGGGGTTCCTTTACCGGCGTTGCACTTCCGCCGACCTCTGCACTAGTCGAGCGTTTTGGATTCGCCTCTGAACCATCCCCCATTATAGCCAATTCGCCCGCCTCTGGAGTACTGGTAGTCTTTGCGTTGCCTTTCTGACCTGTGTCCCTGGACCAAAAGGCCCACGTTGAGCTGTATGATGATTGGCTGACTTCCGTAGGCTTTGAAGCTGGGGCATCTTCCATGGTTACATCTTGATTCTCATTTGGCAAAGATTCTTCGACGGGTGATGTATCGGTCGGTTTTTGTGTAGAGTTTTCTGAAGCGGCTGGTGTTGTTGATGTATACCAAAATCCAAACCAAGAACTTGTAGGCTTTGTAGGTTCAACAGGTCCCGCCGGGGTTTGGTTGGGTTCGGGAGGCTTGGGAGGTTCAGAGAGTTCAGAGGGTTCAGAAGGTGGCTGAGGTGTATCTAGTTGCATGCTTTCGGGTTCATTCGAAGAATCGGCTTTCGCATTTCTGTCTTTTTGAGTAGTCGCCTCTGGCACTGCTGATCTTCCAAACCATCCCAGCCAACTAGACGAGGCCTGTGGTAGTTGCGTCGTTTCTGCTGATGGTTGAATTTCATCTTTGTTGGCGGTCGCATTAGGAGCCTCTTGATCCTTTGACATCTTCATCTCATTACTTTTTCCGCCGCCGGCAGAATTATTAGCCTCTTGGGCTTTTGCAGATTTGTTATCATCTCGTCCAGGCTGCACAGGTGCTTCGGTGGTTTTAGGTAGTGTTCCAGTGGACTGGCCGTCGGACTCAACAGAACCATTATCCTTCTTAGTTTCGAAACGACTAAAGTCGGGAGAGGCGACGGGACGTAGGGTGCCACCCATGATAGTCTGATGTGAGACTTGGGTCGAGGCAGACGACTTAGGTACTTGTGACCAAGAACCATACCAACTTCGAGGCTTGCGCACCTGTGACATATAAATACTCTAATTAGTACGAAGCCTTAAGATATAGGATATATAACCTGATCACGTATTAAATTGCAGACCTGCTTTATATCATCAAGCCTATTAGATTTAGATGCAGATGCCTTCGAACTATCTCGCCTTGTAGGTGGCATCGACTGGCCCGGAGCTAGAGATGATTGTGACGGGAGAGCAACTTGACTAGCATCACTGTTTTCTCTTGTGGAGGGATTTGGTTTTGCACGCTTCCGTGGGATCATAATGGCTTATTTTTTAGAGCATCCAAAGTTGGCTCCATGGAATACGGAATACTTTTGCTATCCAAGTTTTGTTGTTGAATATTCCAAGTTGCACTACGTAACCATTCAGCAGGTAAAGTACCTAACCTAGTTGTCCTAGGTACCTACCCTAGGCACCGGAAGCAACGCTGCGTTGCGGTGGGAAAGTGGGACACTTGGGAGACACTTGGGACATTTAGCTCCCTGTAAATCCAAATAAGGCGCCAATGGGAGGCAATAATGAGTGGGGTTTGCCTGTTAATTCTCAGACCCTGCAGTAGCCGGAGTAGCAGGCTGCTCCTAGCTGAGCACTATCTATCATTTGCGGATCCACTAATAAGTTGTTATCGATAATCGATAATCAACTATCGCGAAAAAAAAGTTGTCTGCGCAGAGGAATTGAAGGAAAGTTTCAAAGTGGGATTTAACCTTAGCATCCCCCCAACCCAACCCATTATATACCTACCTGGTAAACAAGCCTTCCACCGACAGGCGCAAATTTACCAACAAACTGCCATGAGATAAGCAATGAGCTCACTTAAGAGAAAAGATGCCCCTGGGGCGGCATCAATTGCAAAAACTACGAAAGCGCATAGCGACTCGAGGCCGTCGAAACGATCCAAGCCCGACAAGACAGTTGATAATAAAAATGATGCGAAGTCGAGCTCAAGTTCGAAACCCGCCAGCACTTCTACAGTCTCGCGCTTAAAAGAAGACGAACCTCTTTTCCCCCGTGGGGGTGGTAGCGTCCTCACTCCCCTTGAGCACAAGCAAATCTCCATACAGGCGAAGCAAGATGTTCTATTCGAGCAAGCGTCCGGGCAGAACACGGGCAAGTCAGACCGCGTTTCCAAGAAAAGGAAGGTCAAGACCTCGAAGAATGGAAAATCCGGAAATTCTGACCAAGATGAAGAGAGTACAAAAGTCGAAAGTCTCAACTACAAGGTTTGTCCTAAATCGAATGTCATATCATATTCGAATTATTGCTAACAAGCATACCAGCGACTGGTGAAAGGCTCCCTAGTTCTCGGCCAGGTAGCTGAAATAACCCCTTTAGAACTTGTTCTAGCTCTCCCGAACAATCTCTCTGGCCATGTACCAATTACTGCTATCTCCGACATCTTGAATGAGAAGATAGCTGCGGAGGCGGCTAAGGAAGAAGAGGAGGACGAGACTGAAGAGGATGGTCTTGACCTGCAGGCTATCTTCAAGATTGGCCAGTATCTTCGAGCTTATGTTACGTCAACCATCGAGGAGACGACAGCAGCTTCCGCTAAACCTAGGAGGCGCATTGAACTCTCATTACAACCAGCTCTCGCAAACACGGGCTTATCCGGTCAGGATGTCATTACCAATTCTACCGTCATGGCAACGGTCATTAGCGCCGAGGACCACGGTTTCGTCATGGAACTTGGGATCGCTGATTCAGATCTACGGGGATTCTTGCCTCGGAAAGAATTGTCAGAAGAGATAACAGATTCTCAACTGCAGCCTGGGGGTGCTGTCCTATGTCTCGTGACGGGGAAAAGTCCCAACGGTAAAGTTGCTCAGTTAACTACTCTTCCAAGCAAGATTGGGAAAGTTCAAAACTATGCGTCAGAAGCGACTACCATCAACACATTCTTACCAGGATCCGCGGTAGAATTCATGGTTACCGATATCGCTAAACGTGGAATACTAGGAAAAGTCATGGGCTCCTTAGATGTTACGGCCGATCTGGTTCATTCCGGCCTAGGGCCCAAGGCCCTGGATTTGGAATCTAAGTATAAAATAGGGAAGAAGTATAAGGCACGAATAATATGCAACTTCCCAGCTGCCAAAGATCCCAAATTAGGCGTCTCGTTGTTAGACCACGTGGTATCCTTGAAATCCAATACGACTTCTTCGGGTGAGCTACCATTGAAAGCTCTCCCTATATCGACAACGGTAGAACAATGCAAAGTCACCAAGGTCGACCCAGAAGTCGGTCTGTTTGTCGATGTGGGTATCGAAGGGACGCCTGGGTTTGTACACATATCCAGGGTCAAGGATGGCAAGATCGACATGCTGTCCGAATCCTCTGGTCCTTATAAAACGGGCTCCGTACACCGTGGCCGAGTAGTGGGCTATAATGCTATTGATGGCATGTTCCATGTATCGTTCGAGAAAACTGTCCTCGAGCAGCCGTTCCTGCGCATCGAAGATATACCCATTGGGGAGGTCGTCAACGGGGAGATTGAGAAGCTGATGGTAAACCAAGATGGTGTCAGTGGTCTGCTTGTTAAGCTTGCAGAGGGTATCGTTGGCTTCGTCCCGGAAATGCATTTGGCAGATATTCGACTACAGCATCCTGAGAAGAAATTCCGAGAAGGACTCAAAGTTAAAGCTCGGGTACTTTCAGTCGATCCAGTTAAGCGGCAGGTGAAGCTTACATTGAAGAAAACGCTCGTGAACTCCGAAGCAGTCCCCCTAAAGTCGTTCGACGAAGTCACCGTGGGTATGCAAGTTCCAGGTACTATTGTCAAGGTGTTTGCCAACGGTGCGATCGTACAATTTTATGGTACGCTCAAAGGGTTTTTGCCAGTTTCGGAAATGAGCGAGGCGTATATTCAAGATCCAAAAGAACATTTCAGAGTCGGCCAGGTCGTCAGTGTCCATGTTTTAAGTTTTGATGTCGAGGCACGAAAACTCTTTGTTTCCTGCAAAGACCCTTCGGCCTTCGGCCTCGATAAGCAAAATGCTCTCAAGAAACTTCAGCTCGGAGATGTCGTCTCTGCTAAAGTCGTGCAAAAAACTGAAGACGATGTATTTGTTGAATTAACGGACAGCTCTCTTAAGGCCATGTTATCCGTATGGCATCTGGCTGACCGACCCAACAAATGCCAATCTGCCTCGAAGCATATTCGCGTTGGACAGACTCTTAACGATCTTGTAGTACTAGAGAAAAATGAAGGTCGCCGATACATAGCGTTGTCGAAGAAGCCTAGCTTCATAAAGGCCAAAAAAGATGGAAAGCTTCTCACGTCTTTGGAGGGAGCTAAAGTTGGTGACCTTCGGCAAGGTTTCGTGAGAAATATTACTCCCACAGCAGCTTTCGTCCAATTTTGTGGCCAACTCACTGCCTTGCTACCTAAGTCAAAATTACCCTTGGAAGATCAACAGAAAGCAGACTTTGGGCTAGAAAGATACCAGCCAATACTTGTCAAGCTTGATTCCATCGATAAAGATCGTGGCAGGATCGTTGCTGCATCTCCCCTACTTGAGGACGACAAGAAATCAAAGAGCGAAACTTCCGCTGCATCGATCAGAATCGAAAACCCAGTAGACGAGACTATTTCTTCGACGGATGACATTTTCGTTGGCAAGATTGTCAAGGCCAAAATCACATCGGTCAAGAATACACAGCTCAATGTCAAACTCTCCGACAATATACAAGGCCGCGTAGATGTGTCTCAAGTATTTGATTCTTGGGATAAGATTTCCAAACCGAAGTCTCCATTAAGTACATTCCGAACGAATAGCATAATTACAGTTCGAGTTTTGGGTGTTCACGATGCGAGAAACCACCGCTTCTTACCGATATCGCACCGATCAACTCATTCGGTCCTTGAGCTGTCCGCAAAACCGAGTGACCTAAAGAAAGAGGGCTCACAGGTTTTATCGTACGACAAATTAGAACCCGGTTCTACCCATGTGGGCTTCGTCAATAACGTTGACAACAATTCCCTTTGGGTAACCCTTTCACCCAATGTACGAGGCAGGATCAACACTCTGGAAATATCAGATGATGTTTCCCAACTCGAGAATCTAGCTTCAAGCTTCCCAATCGGGTCCGCACTAAAAGTCCGTGTTCTCTCGGTTAATGCATCCGAAGGCCGTCTCGATCTTTCAGCGCGCTCCACGGGCTCTTCGACGAATCTCACTTGGGAGACGGTTAAACAAAACATGGTTCTTCCCGGTAGAATCACAAAGATTAACGAACGGCAGATTATGGTGCAACTTAGCGAGGTCGTCTCTGGTCCCGTGCATTTAATAGATGTTGGCGATGACTATAGCGAAGCCAACACGCTTTCTCACAGCAAGAATGATATCACCAGAGTTTCGGTCGTCGAGGTCGACAAGAGTAATAAGAAAATTAGGCTCTCTACTCGTCCTTCAAGAGTGCTGAACTCTTCTCTGCCTGTGAAGGACCGCGAAATCACCAAGGTATCTCAGGTCAACGTCGGCGATATTCTTAGAGGATTTGTGAAGAATGTATCCGACAAAGGCTTATTCGTGAGTCTCGGCGGAAATGTGACAGCAATGGTCAGGATATCAGACCTTTCCGACAGATACCTCAAGGAATGGAAGGACGAATATCAAATCGACCAACTTGTCAAAGGCCGAATAATCTCTGTAGACTCTGACACGGGTCATGTGCAGATGAGTCTCAAGGCTTCGGTGGTTGACAAGGATTTTATCCCGCCCATCAATTATTCGGACCTACGTGAAGGCCAAATCGTAACCGGTAAAGTAAGGAAGGTAGAAGAATTTGGTGCGTTCATCGTTATCGAAGGCTCTGCGAATGTCAGTGGTTTATGTCACCGCAGCGAGATGGCTGAAAAGTCTGTCCAAGATGCGCGAAAGCTCTTCGCTGAGGGTGATGTGGTTAAGGCGATCATCTTAAAGCTCGATAAGCAGAAGAAGCGAATCAGCTTTGGCTTAAAGCCGTCCTACTTTGAGGGCGTGGATGATATGGACGTCGACGACAGTGACGAGGATGACGACGCCGGTGCTGCATTATTGAGGGATTCTGACGAGGAAGACGACGATGACGAGGAAGACGATGAGATGGAAGATGCTGGCACCTCTGTAGTCATAAGAGGAACCGATAATGATTCAGAAGAAGATACCGATGATGAGGATACCCAGATGACAGATAAGGCGGCCGACGATATTGCTCCTCTCGATGCTGGCGGCTTCGACTGGTCTGCCAATGCGCTCGACGAGATTCCTGATGCGGATGACGATGCAGATGAAGACGCGAGCGCAGCACAAAAAAAGAAGAAACGAAGAAAGCCCCAAATTGAAGTAGACAAGAGCGGTGATCTAGATGCGTTCGGTCCTAGGACGGCCGTCGACTATGAGCGGCTTCTCAACCGCCAGCCCAATTCATCCGCACTATGGATTGAGTATATGGCTCACCAGATGCAAGTCAGCGAGCTCGCAAAAGCCCGTGAGGTCGCCGAGCGTGCAATTACGGCCATCAGCAGCACCGAGGAGACAGAAAAGCTCAATGCTTGGATTGCCTATCTCAATCTCGAAGTCCGATTTGGCAGCGAAGATACCGTAGACGAAGTATTTAAGCGTGCTTGCCAAGTCAACGATCAGCAAGAGGTTTACCAACGCCTGGCCAGCATTTATATCCAGGAAGATAAGGCTGGGGTAAGTTATATTTTGGCTTTATGTTTATACGCCAATGCTAATTGTATTACAGAAAGCGGACGAGCTTTTCCAAACTCTTGTCAAGAAGTTCGGCGCAGAATCGCCAGAGGTCTGGTATAATTACGCACACTGGCTGCACGCCGTCCAGAACCAACCCGAGCGTGCGCGAGCGCTTCTACCTCGGGCCACGCAGGCGCTGCCGAATCACGCGCGCTTCCCCCTGATGACCAAGTTCGCGGCGCTCGAGTTCAACTCGCCTCATCGGAACCCGGAGTTAGGGCGCACCATGTTTGAAGGTCTACTAGCTACCTTCCCTAAGCGTTTCGACCTTTGGAATCAGCTACTCGATCATGAGGATGTGCCCGGTGCCGACAAGACCGCTATCCGCGACATTTTCGAGCGTGCTATCCGTGTTAAGGGGCTGAAGGCTAGGGCGGCGAAGAAGTGGTTCAAGAGATGGGCAGACTGGGAGGAGAAGAACGGCGATGCGAAGAGCAGAGAGAGGGTTAGTGCTAAGGCCGCGGAATGGGTAAGGGCCAGGGCCGAGGCCAAGGCGGCGAAGGATGAGGAGGAGGAGGACGATGAATGAGTAAATGGGATTTACTACTCATCTCGCGGAAGTTAGTTATGAAAATACTTCACTCCGTGACATACGTAGGTACTGCATATGGATAAGGCGATAATCTATACAGTTGAAAGTATATATTTAACAGTGTAATATTCGAGCATTGGAGTACATCGTTAGATATTTACTATTACGCCAAGGTGCTCTTTATTACCATCCCGTCAGGGGTATATACCTTAGGTAGGTACGTATAGAGGTACTAATGTTGAATAGGAGGTACGCATTCGGGTTGGATATACTTGGGCGCAAATGTGATGTGAATAGCTCTGTTACGAAAATAGTCCTGAACGGGTCTTTTGTCTACCTAATAATCTCCCATCCATCTCTGAATTACGTTTAAGCCAATAAACTCCAATGCTCCATCAAAAGAAGAGGATAAGGTAAATAAATAAATAAAAAGACATCTTCCCACTCCTCTTCCTCATTCCCTGCTACCCTTCCCCAGGAGCCGTCGTAGTTCACTCCCAGAATGAGTTCACAACTAGACGGCTCAGGTTCCCAAATACCATTTCCTCCTTCCCCTCCTCCAAAATCAGGAATCAAGAACTTCGCCAAATAAGAGGATAATAATAAAGAAATGGAATAAAAGGATAATGAAAAAATAAAGATAAAAAAAATATGGTAGATAAATTGCACTATGGTCCTCCTATCCCATCCTATCCCATCCCATCCACCACCCGATCGGCCGTGAAATCCATTCGCCGGTTGTCCAAATCTAAGCTAGGGGGGGATATGATATGTACATGTATATGCATGTTTGCTTGCTTGCTTGGTATATGATGCAATGACGGAGGGGTTGCGCGTTAGGATACGTTGGTGGTGGCAAGTCCTAAATCGAGGAGAATCCGGCCCCAAGTGTATAAAGCGTGGGTGATTAGTGAGTTGGCGCTGCCTGCCAGTCTGTCTGTCTCAAAGAGGAATTCCCCCGGTCTCTCGATTGTGTGTGGTTCGGAGAGCAACAAGAGAAACAGGAACAGACGTGAAACCTGTTTGGGCGGCTCCCCGTTTCATAACGCATTAAGGCAAACCCCCCGGGTCGGCTTACGATTTTGTTGTCGTTGTTGCTTTTCTCTCTCTAAAAGACCAACACCCAACAACACCAACGTCGGATGAGAAAATATCTAGAAGACAAGAGTAAAAAACAAAAAAGCCGACTACTAAAAATGAGGTATATATGGTATGATAGCTGCTAGGAATAGAAACCGAAAAGGGGGGAAGAGGTAGAGTAGAGTGAAGACGATAATTCGGAAAATAGCAATAACTAGCAGTAGTAGGTGCAATAGTAGTAGTAGTATAGTTGAAAATAAAAGAAAAAAAAATGAAGCAAATAGGCTGGGATGAAGAAGCCAAAGCCCAAGATGAGATAGCAGTCTCTTCGTTACATCGTATGAAGTTCAGATTCAAGATCGCAATGCTGGGTATCGTTTGTAATCGTAATGCCGCACACGAAGGAAAAGAAAAATAACGGTCTAGATCTCTTGGACCCACATCTGTTGAATATCGTGGTTAGCTAATGTTCCCTGTATATCTAGGTAAATGACGATGTAGCGATGGTGGTGAGAAATATCGAGAGAGAAAAAAAAAGAAAAGAAAAAAAAAGGGGGGGGAGCGAAATAAGACTCACATCCAACTTGCCAATATCGAGCCTCTGCCTCCGCGCCATCTGCTTGACGCCCATCATCGCGACGTCCAGATCGTCCTGGTCGCCCATGGTGATCATCTCGGAGGACTGGGGCGCGTCCTCGTCGCGCACCTTGAGCTTGAAGCGCCTGCGCAGGCCGAACTTGTCGCGGATGCGGTCCACGAGCTCCGAGAACTCGATCGTCGTGCTGACCATCACGTACCGCACGTCCTCCGCGTGCACCTTTATCCGCACCTTGCGGATCTCGGGCCTCCGCGACCCGCCCCGCGACGACCCCGCCACCGACGTGCCCCCCGGCCGCCGATTCGACGACACCATCTCGAAGTCCCCCTCGTCGAACGAGTCGTAGTCGCTCGCTTCTTCCTCCTCCTCGATGTACCGCGGCGCCCGTCGGCTCTGGCCCCGTCCCACGCCTCCTCCGCCGCCGCCGCCGCCACCACCCCCGTACATGTCGTACACGTCCTCCGGGTACCCGTCCTCCTCGTTCCTCGAGCGCCGCATGCGCGGCTGCTCCCGCTCCGACCGCGAGAAGCTCCTGGGCGGCGACCGCATCTCGGACGCGGAGCGCGAGGGCGCCTTGCGCTCGCTGCGCGGCGAGCTCATCTTGTCGTACCGGTTCTTCGCGGGCTCGGGGATGTTGAGCCTGGCGGGCATCGGCTTGGGGCCGTTGCGCACCGAGGCACCGCGGCTCATCGTCGTCGTCGCCGACGACGGCTTGTCGTTCTCGGGCGGCGGCGTGGGGGGGAACGCGTTGCGGCTGGTCGGAGGCTCCGACTGCTGCCTCTTGCTCTGCAGGCCCGGCTTGACCAGGTTCGTCGCCGCGAACGAGATGTTGTCCGCGGGACGGTCGTCCTTCTCCGCTGCCCTGCCGGCGTTCTTGATTTCCGACCCGGCGAACCCGGTAAACGCGTTGGACCTGTCGGACGCGGCCACCAGGCGGGCTTTCCCGAGGTAATCTTTCGTCTTCAAGTTTCGCACCTTGGCTTCGTTCGGTCGGTATACGACTCCCACGGGGATGGAGAATACGGTGTAGCCCTATGAGACGTCAGTATCTTCCATCTACTACCTGAGAAAAAAAAAAGAGAAACAGAAAAAAAAAACAGCATCTTGGAAAAATAAGAATATCGTACCTCGGCCTCTTCCCTAATAGCTTCGTCGATGACGTTGTGATCCTCGACGACCTTTTCCTTCACCGCGAAATTCAAATCCTGCAGACCCGCCTCCTTCTGTTGTAGGTAGATATAGCAGAGACCTCGGTTGAACAGCACCTCGCAGGAGTAGAGTTTGAACAGAAGGCCCAGTTGCGCGTAGTCGATCATCGTATTGCCTCGCAGGTATAGCAGCGTGTCGTTGAAATTCGCCAGTGCTTCTTCGAAGTCGCCCAGCAGGAAGTTGGACACGCCCTGCTGGAAATAGGCCACGGCGAGATATTGGTCTAGCCGGATCGCTCTCTGGTAGCATTCGACCTAGAAGCGGGTAAAGTTTTAGCATTTCAGAACGCAGATTCGCTCAGAACAGTGCTGCTAGGTTGGGAGGTATGTTTTAAAAACTTACAGCTTTCTCGTGCTCTCCTAGAGTCGCATGTATAACACCCATATTAAACAAGATCTTGGACGTATCCGAGATGTTGTCGAACTCCTTCAATGCCTCCTCGAACTCATTGTTATCGTATCGGCTCAAGGCCGACACCCACGTTTCTATTTCCTACATAGGGTAAGAGAGAGAGAGCGTATTAGCCACTTTGATCACACTTCGCAAACCACACGTACACCGCTTCCCCGAAAGTCTTAAGAAAACCTACCTGCTTGAGAGACATTGTGTCGCCGGGATGAGCCTTGAATTAGCACCAATTGCTTTGTCCAGAAAGCAAAGGTGTAAGAGGGGGGTTTAGGCGGCGCTCCTTGCGGCGATACTGATGCCTGGGGAGTGGAGGAATTTCGACTCGCCCCTTTTCGATCCGCTCCCAAGCTCAACCTCGAATTGACGGATGATGGTCTTTGCGTTTTTTTGGCCGAGGCTTAGAGGTTCGTATTTCGTTTTTTTTTTTCGGTCTTAACCACACCTTGACACCTTGACACTTGGTATTACTTGGTCCCGACTATACCCTTAATAGCCACTCTTTCTCCCCTCTTTCGAATTTCCTTCTCCGTGCTAATTTATGGTCTTGGCAGTTTAAATAAATGAAATAGTCATGAGTATTTTAGTTTAGCGGATATGGTGGTTCGTGTCTTTTTTTCTTTTTTTTTTTTTTTCTAGAAAAACGGCCCCTTCTTTTTTTTTCTTGTCTTTTGCGAACAACTTTGTTTTGAAGATCGAAATCCTTCCCTCTTCGAAATTTGGGTAATTTGGAATCGGAGGTCAGACCAACCTAGCTAACGGGAAGCGTCTAAACCTCCTAGCAATTTAGCTGGTGGAGGGGCGGATCTCTGGCAAGTTCCCGTTGTGGCAGGCAAAATAAGAAAAAGTGATAAAAAAAGATCGGGGGGTGTTGGTGGGATATGTAGGTACAGACGCACGACGGCCAACGAGCCAACAGGGTGGGACTTCAAGGTAGCGGGAAGCCACAGGACGAATCTCCTCTTCGCCTTTTTCCTCTCTTTTCGATATTAGGTACTCGATTAGACGTGGTATTGGGAGCTTATTAGGTTAGGTAACTTTTAAAAGTGTAGCCCAAGTAGTAATAATAAGTGCGTATAAGTGGACTAGCTCGTTTTTCTTCTTCTTCTTCTTCTTCTTCTTCTTCTTCTTCTCTCTTCTTTTCTTCACACTGCACTGCAAGGAATGGGGTTTAGGTCGGTGATGAGATTAGAGTGACTTGCAGCTTTTCTTTGCAGATTAGAACAGGTAATGAGTGGATGGAACGACGACGAAGCCAGCGCGTACAGAATGACTGAGAGTGGATGAATGGCGGAAAAGACAGTAATAGGTGGAGGACGAGACCTTGGTGCCAAGCGAAGCACTGGCCGGAAAAGACTGGTAAATCTGGGTCTTTTTTTGGTCAGAATTCCGAAGCCAGCTGGGACTGTGGACTTCGGCTGGGAATTATGCTATTAGGTATTTGAGTAAGTAGTATGCATACCTCTGTACTTAACCCGTCGACTTCAAGCTCTTACATAGTAGTAAGTACCATGCAACCGTATTGTACATACACGCACCCCCCGGCTTTTTGGGCTTTTGCTTTGGGGGAACTTGTGATGTTGTGTGGATACGGAATGTCCTCGTTGCGGGCAGCCAAAACGACGATGATGCTCTACCAGGGTCCAGATATGTAGGGAGTGACAGGGGTAGGGATAGTGGAAGTATTTTTTTTTTTCTTCTCAACCGAGGGCTTGGACTCTTGGGAGTGGAAAACTTTGGGAGGGGTGCTTCCAATCAGCGCGTGGCCATCCGTCCCTTTTTTATTCCGCTTCAGAAGTGAGGGCAACAAGAGACTGGTTGGCTATTCGGAAATTCAACCTCTTCACCAGTCGTTCGACCTGTCATGATCAAACGAACAATACAGGAATCAATACATATGTCCCTTAGATTGTCTCGTCTAAAGACAAACTTAGCTGGCGTATAGGGCGCCTAGCAGTAGTACAGCCTCATTCAACAAGCGCGCAGAGCAGTTAACCGACTCCTTCGCGCCATCAATACTAAATGAACTTTGGCCGCCGCGGGCGTACCAACGTCTATGTGAAGCTGATCGCACGACGTATAAGTTGTTTATAGATCAGGAGGATGGTGGATGAAAAGGTTAGGGAGGCAAGGCAGTACCAGTACTGCCTGAGACCGTCTCAAGACCACTTGGTTGCCTATTTTACCTTCCTTCGTTTACGGATTACCCCTGGGATGATTATTGTCAGTTCGCTCTTTCGAGCCATCATCACACAGAGATCTGACCTTCCTAAGAAGATCTCATTAGAGACGATCTCACGGTAAGTAGATGATTATAGTAAGTATTCTCATAACCACCTACTAATTAAACTCCCATCAACCCGTTCCTGTCAGTGATTACTATTGCATGTACTAGGAGGTACTGCAGTTCTTCAGCAGTGATCATGAAGCAGTGTAGCATGGCAAAGTAGCAATAGTTGCCGATATTAATCCTAGTCTCTTCCCCTTTGGGGTTACAACCTGGAACGGGCCCTGTCTCTCCTCGTGCAGCAACTTGTTCCAAAGTGTCGATCAAGGGGTCATTATTGGTCGACGGGATTCGGTAAAGCCCCCGCAGTCTCGGACTCCCAGGCGTTTCCAAGGGCGCCTAAAATCTGAAATCGGGCCAGTCACTGCTCCAAGCTCATGTACAATGCCTGGTTCGTCGTATTTGTCTATTATTTCCCCTTCAACGATTCTTATTGCCACACCTTCGAGAACTTTCCCATCGACGAATCAAAGACTTCCGTGCCCAAGCTGTCTAGATGCACGTCCAGATGCATGGTTCATGTGCCCAATGTCCAAGCTCTCATCTCATCTCGAATCCGGAATAGGTAATCTGCACATACCGTAGCTCTTCTCTCCTATCCTAATCGGTCTTGTAGGATGATATCTACGCGCCGACAAGCCTTCTAGTTTTCTTCAGCACAGTTCGTCACTCGCAATGATGCGTGTGACGTTCTCATAGCTCGAGCTAAGAGGATTAAACGAAGCTTGTCACCAATTATGCTATGCCTGTTCCGTACGTGCACTACGTAAAGTCGTTACCGACAAAGCTCACCTTGATCATTGATGCCTGCTAGTCACCTATCTCTCCGTATGCACGATGCAATCGGACGGCGTGCTACATGCCAGCCTTCTGAGAGGCCCATTCTGGTGAATCCATCGTCCCCCTACGAATTCCAGAATATCCCATCCCATCGTAGCGGATTCTGGCTTCCCGGTCTTAGATAGCCTTTACACCATCACTCCGCAGATTGCAAGACGCACGTCATCACGAGTTTTAATACACCACGTACACCTTTTGCTGAAGAACTGTTGTTGAAGACCCAGAACCTATCGTATTGCATAGTAACACCTCCTTCTGTTGCGAAACTCGCTTCCGTTCAATGTGTTTGAGGTACTCTTCCTACCCTTATTAGTCTTTGACATCTATATCCACTATGGACTGGGTTATCCTTATTACATAGTACTAGGTAGTAAAAGCACGTAGCCATAAGGCACCTGCGCGTCACGAGTAAGCCTATCTCGTGGGCTCGGCAGAAACGACAGGGTGGGCGTTTGATGATCCTCAAATCTCAGAAAGTTCGGTGTTGTCCAGAAGCCCCTGGGCCCACGGCCATCTGTGACCTTGAACCCCCTTAGCGGATCAGATCTCTCTAAGCTAAACCTAGAGCCTCAACGAGCCCGTTCGCTACTATGTAGTAGTAACGAATGCTGCCTACTAACTACCTTAGGTACCTAAGGCAGTGTAGTAAGTAACTGTTTACATGGTGCAGCAGCCATGTTTTCAGTCGCGATGCCCGTCATGGTCGAGCGTAGCACACAGATCTCAATAGCTCGAGGCTTGTTGATCCTTCGCCTGCGGGTAATTTCCATGTCCTGCCTATTGCTAATCATATGCTAGCCATGTGAAAGAAGTTCTCTCCCATCCCGCTTCTCTTCCGTTGCAATCACACACACAAAAAAGATTCTTCAGCAACGTGTATGGGCCGCTCGCCTTTTTATCTACCTAAGGTAAAATCCCTACTGGATACGACGTGCACCGGCATGGACCGATAACTGGGACACCCGTACGCCTTGACCTAAGTGAGTATGTCTGAGTTGATCTCATTTGTCTCATTCCACGTGTTCCCGGTCACCGCTAAGTGGGACTATCGGCGCTTTTATGATAACTTACAAAGTCTGCATTAAGAGAGGGTACGGTGGCTGCTTCGTAACTTGTATTAGATAAGTCTGGGCATAATAGTAACCTAGCATGATTATCTAAGGTCACAAGCTTGGCGTTGAGGATGCGGTCAAGTAAGCTGGGTTCGGGGGATAAAGGGATGACGAAGGGTTATGGTTATCAGCATGATGGGAGCCAACCGCTTAGCAACTCAAAACTCCATATGTTGTGTAAACAGCCAACGGCCGGGGCCCCGGAGTCGGCCACAAGGCCAAGCTTTTCCCCCTTCGTCCATACAATACCTATCAGATAAAGACTAGGCTTTTGATTTAACCCCTACCCACGACTTCTCCGCGTGCCGCCAGGAAGGAAAAGATCATGATCACATCGTCTCGTTCGATGATCTATCATCCTTCGACTCTTTCTCCATGATCGTTGACTACCTAGGTAGGTATCTTTTAGCGTTTTCGTCGACATGAGAAAGTGGGTATGTGTAAGACGGCGACAGCTATTGCGACTTCGTCCCTACAATGTTTGTTTGGTTCTGTGACCGCAGTGGTTGACGTAGGAATGGCTTCCCAAGGAGGTAATCCTTGGCGGTCCTTCATCATGAGATTCTTTAAATACTTAGGGATTACATGGCGCCACCATGGGTCGGTCTATGGTGCCATTGCCCAAAGGATACCACACGATTCATTGATCCCTTCTAGGAAAGCACAATGCGGCATCTTTATCCCGGGCCCCTTAGATATTTGCCTGCTTTGGTAATGCCTATGCCGATAAGGAGCGTATCAGTATCTTCGTTCGAATATATCGAGTGGCATGATCGGAGTAGATTTGTCGTCTGATTTCATGAAACGTCATCCAATGTAAGCTCGCCAAAGTGACTGCCGAGCTGCCATAATCAACTGTGAGCAACCGCCAATAACAACCTGTAAATTGTGATGTGAGCTTGTGACAAATTGTTTCTTCGTCGTTTGAATAAATTTGGGAGAGTTGGACCCTGAATACCTACCTAGTACTTGCATAAGGGGACCGACAGAGGGAATTATACATAGATACTATCAATATCAAGACATGTAAGAATAGACAGGATCTTAAACTAGATACCCTTAGAAGACGTGGTTCGATGAGAATGAATCCCAATCCAACTTCCAAACTTGACTTCTTTCTATGTATCAACAGTGTCTATTGGGTACCAATAACCTTTATGGGCAATCCTTACTTCAATACACGTTGCCAGTTCCAAAACCTGTATGGAACCAATTCATCATTCAAGTCTTAGAGCATACCTTTCTTTACTTCATCCCTTCTTTCCTCCCAAAGTGTCTTGCCGGTACATGAGCATACCGTCTTATCATTATCCCACATGCCGGCACTTCTCGCAATAACACCTACCACGGTATTCTCGTTATTTTTCAGATTTGCTTCCGTGACCCCTTCCTTCTGGTTGGAAACAACCATCGCATGTCCAATCACCTCCCACACCTGGAAGGGATGGTCAAAGAACACTGCACCCCGACCATCCTTTCCGACCTGCACAGTACCTAAGATCCCCCGGGGTTGAGTTGTACCACTCCCGCCTGCCCACACCGGGCCCGTAGACGTGGCGCCAAGCTTGAGGTCGCCGTACTCCCGTATAGTAGCCGAGTATGTACCAGGCTCGACGCCACGAACGGTCAGATCCACCAAAGTTATCGTAGGAGAAACTTGGACCATGCGGGCTAAGCCTCTGACTTCCCTGTCCTTTGCTCTGGATCCGTCCGTATCGGCCTCTGGAGCCGAAGCAGGCACCAACGCATCACCACCCTTCTCATTTCGGTGATACGTCTCGAGGATACATACGGCTGCGCCTAGAAGGATCTGTATCAGCCAGCTGACGAGAACAATGTCCACGGAATTACCGATTCAAAATTAGGAAATCCGGAAGCGTAAGCCGACTGCTTCGGCGAAGTTCGGCATGAGGTAAGGAAAATGGCCCTTTTCGTGCGGCCTTAGAGTAACCGCCGATGGTTTGCATAAATACCAAAACCAATAGAAATATATGATGGAACATAGAAAGGGAATATAATATATCACTCACTATTAGAAGCACCAGACCCCCTTAAAATAGCATCTCGACCAGTAGCTTCAATGGCGCTAACAATCGCGGACGGAGCAGCTATTCAAGGAACATTATGGTGTCAGTCCCCAAAGCGAGACCTATTGACCTGCGAGGTAATAGATATCTTACCAGTTCCCTCCACCGATATAAGCTGCTTCTCTAAGTCGGCCTCGACTTTAGTGATACCTCCGAGTTTATATAGCGCATCGGAAACATCTTTGACACATCCGTCACAGGTCATCGGCACAGCGAATAACGTCTATATGATTTGTTCATGCTCCTATTAGTTTGTCCTGTTCTGGGCTTCATAGATATCATAATATCTTCTAAAGGCTAGGTACTTGGTAACAACTTCAAGATGAAGATTAGGTGAAGGTAGGTAGGTAGACGGACCTGAAAAGGAGTCTTGGCCTGATTAGAAACCACCATCTTGTCTCCCGTAGCAGCAGGAATATACCTGCTTATATAAAATGACTGTTCTCGCTGGTTACGATGATAATACGACCCGGCAGCGACGCCGAAAAAGATAAAACTAGTACTCGCGGCAAAGGAACGAAATGGGATACCGTGTAGATATTTCAGCATCATATGCTTGGAAGTAGAAGAGGGGACGAAGAGAGCTTCATAGTAATTATTATTATTATTTTTTACAAATATCGATCGTGTAGAATGGACTGGAAGCCATTCACTTACACGATAAGAAAAACCCACCCTTTCCGTTATTTTACCTAAGAAAGAGGTAATTAGACCAATGAAATGGAACAAGCACGAACTTTTGCTTTGAAATCGCAATTGCGTCTTTCAGGTACCTACCTACAGCTGGGCCTGCAACAGAAATGCGGGCTCGGTCCTCGGTGCTTCGCAACTGGCGTCATTCACCTGTTTTATCGCTTATCTTTTTATCGATAGGCGGGGAAATACACATCTTGACATCCCTTACTATGTAGATCCCCCGGGGTCTCGGTACCTGCCGTACACGTGACTTAACGAATATCGAATTCTGCTATCGCACTTACACCTTGCAACGCTTCCCCCATTTAGCCTTGGGCATATATCTAAATACACTTTTAATAAAACCTTCAATTTCGCGACAAGACGTGCCATTGCACTACCAAAAGGGGTCTTCGAGGTCATACATGTGCCCCTCGTCAAGCCTATCGAGCAAATAAAACCCGTGTCTTGACGACGAGGGGCTAACAGCTCCCCTCCCCCTTTTAAAAAGAGCCGTCACCATGTCGCAGACCATCGGGCTGGTAAGCTTCCTTTTCCCTTTCCTTTCCTCATTCGAAGCGGCATAGCAGGGGTACTCACACTCTCCCGGGACAGACGAAACTAGCCTACTCGCGAGTATGGCACCACATCTCGGCGTCGGCACCGCACCCGACGCTCTCGACGCAACCGAACGTGACCCCGCCCTCGCTCGGCCGGCTGGCGTCGCGCATCGCCGTGATCCTGATGGGCAAGCACAAGCCGATCTGGGACCCGTCGACGGACTGCGGGGACTACGTGGTGGTGACGAACTGCGCGGCGCTGCACCTCACGGGCCACAAGAAGTGGCGCAAGATGTACCACCGGCACAACACGCGCCCGGGCTCCCTCCAGTCCGTCACCATGGACGTCCTCATGGCCAAGCACGGCGGCGCCGAGGTCCTCCGCAAGGCCGTCAGCGGCATGCTCCCCAAGAACAGGCTCAGGGATAAGAGGCTCGCCAGGCTCAAGGCCTTCGAGGGCGACGCCCACCCGTTCAAGCAGAACCTCATTCGGTTTGGCGGCGTGCCTGTTGGCAAGGAGGGCTGGGGCGAGGCTGTTCAGGCGATAAGGCAGGCGGGTGCTGAGAGGTTATAGCGGAGAGGATCGGATCGGATCGGATTGGTGCTAAGGCGAGGCGCGACTTGCAGGCTCGAGAGAAAGAGAGAGAGAGAGAGAGCAGGCTTTGCCAGGGAAATTCTAGCTCTGCATATCTGCTATGTACTACATCGTACGTGTATAATGAATGCATCTCATAACAACCAACATTGCAAGTGGCCAAGAAAACGGCACTTATATGTACAATGAATACGGTATTATTCGCTACAAGTAGGTGGTAGGAAAGCACTCCAGGTACTTGGGACAACTGTGGTTCATAGAAAATTCAAAATAAAGTGAAAATATACACCTCTATACGACTGACATTTTTGCACGATGAACCAATCACATCTCCAGGCGGAAAGGGGGGATTTTACGGATTTGATTTTTCTTATCATCTTGAGATGGTATCTAGATACTCGGCATCGATGCAGCAACAAACAACTTTATAAACCCCAGCTCGGATCCCATTCCCCGATAATTACGAATTAAGAAAAAAGAAGAAAAAAAAGCAATCGCAGATCCCGCGAATTACGCCGAAGACATGGTACAAACTCGTGGGAAAAAAAAGACAGTACTAGGTACCTGGTTCGTTTTTTCTGTGCGTCTTACGAGCGCGAGACTTCGACTTTTATCAAACCGTTAGGTCCGGACTGAGGCGCGTACACTTCGGCGTCCTTGCCCGTGTTCTTGATGCCCTTGTGCCAGGAGAGATCTGTGGAAACAATCGGATACGGTTAGAAGCTGATCTTGTCTAGTATATAAGGTAGGTACCTAGGTATATATATATATATATGGATTCTGGTCGGAGATAGATAAGTAAATAAATAAATAGATAAAAAGCCGGGACTTACCGATTTCGAAGTAGTGCTTGTTAGGCAGCGCGTAAGTGACAGTCTTGACCTCGGGCACGGCCTCGAGGACCTGCTCGCTCATCTTGTACATGGTGTGCTGGACCGAGGGGCTGCTCTCCTCGGCGAACGTCTTCATCGAGATGCGGCGCGCGTCCTCCCACGCCCGGTCGAACTGGGCCGCCTTCTCCTCGACCGCCGCCACGCTCGCCAGGGTGTTCCAACTCCAGGTCGCGTCGATGTCGGTCGACAGGATGCGGTCCCACGTCTCGCCGAGCGTCGTGAACTCGTCGCGCACGAAGCCGTGGAACGCCGACCCCGTGCTTTTCAGCACCAGGAGCCCCGAGATGCCGCTCTTGAGCTCGATGCCCTGCCGGGTGATTCGGGCCTCGACGTTGCGAGTCTCCTCGCCGTCGCGGTAGAAGCTGTGGGGGTGCTCCTTTCCGTCAATGACCATGCGGGTCCACCGCTTCACGACGATGTTAATGTTGGCAACGTGGATGTGGGGGTATTGGTCCAGGAAGTGCTGCCCTAGGTAGCTGGCGTACAATTCCGGAGGGTTCACGGGGTGCTCCTTGGCCTTGATGTAGATGGTGTTCTTCATGGAGTCGGTGGCTACGACGACGCTGTTGTCCCCCGTCGTATACGACGTCTCGATATCCCCCTCTAGCAGACAGCATACGGTCATCTCCGTAACCCTGTGCGTACCCATCGCCTCGTCCTTGTGGACTTTGTACACGCGGACATTGTCCTTTCCGTACCGAGCTGCTGATACGACCGGCATGTTGAAGGGTAGGTTACTTGTTTCTTTTCTTTCCCTTTTCTTTTTTTCCTATAATTCTCTTCCTCGTTCTTGCTTATTATGCTTTTACGAAGATTAAGGAACCCGTAAAAGGTTAAAATATTCCGAAACCTCAGGGGAATGCTGGGGATGCCGAGAGAACCTTCCTCTACCAAAAAAAAAGAATGATTTAGGTGCAACGTTATGCAGAAAGTTAGGAGACGAATCTATCCTGTAACAATCGCAATAAAAAAAAGAGATGAGATGATCAGATAGCAGCAAGAATAATAATAGTAATAAGAATGAAAAGGAAGTCGTGAATCATAGGCCGAGTCAAGTCAGGTACGGAAGAGAAGGAGGAAAGAAAAGGTCGCGCGGTTCAAACGGAAAGGGAGAAACATGACTGCGTATTTATATACATCTAAAATGTCATACCTACCTCTAATCTAGGTACTGGACCTAGGTATGGAGTACTATGTAATGTCCATATGGAGCTATGTAAGGCAAAGATACTCCTAAACCTTACCAACCTTCTGGCCTTACAACATAATAAACACTTATTAGACTTACCGACCCTCCATTCCAAATCGAGCTGCATACGTAACCCGAATGGGTTTTATCATAGGTTCACAACGATACTAAACTACTAGCAGGATGCAGGGACGTAGCATGGACGTGGTAGCAGTCGAACGTAGATCCGGGTCCTAAGGGCAGTCCCGGGATTTTCGCCTGGTCGACTTTGGGCAACACAGCAGCAGGTTTGGTTCTATGCAGATCGGAAAGCGCCTGAAGCGGACGCATACTATACGGCACCGGCATTGCGTGCTTGTAGTGTATTGTATGTATGTATGTATCTACCTAACCTAGGTATTGTACCTAAAGGTAGTGGATGCGATACAAGAAAGACTGGAGTCCGCTGGTCACCGATAAGAGAGAGAGAGAGTTGAAGAAGATCCAGGTATGTAGTTGGTGATACAAGAACGGCGGCGGGATCGAAGAATGGAAAAAAAGAGGGGACTTCCTCACTAGTAAGGATGGGGCCTTAAAGCTAAGCTTGCAGGGCATTGCAGGGCATTGCAGGGCCAATGGTATTTCACCAGCTGCCACTGGGGAACGTTTTTAGCGGCTCGATACTTCGATACATCGAACCGTACCTTACGGAACCCGCCGATTCCCCTACAAACGAAGGCCGACTCCTACCCGATTACGGGTATTTACACCCCAAAAAAGCTCCGCCTTATTAGCTTCTGGGAAAGCTTTTCCTTTTTTTATTCGGTTTTTTCCTCTTTATACTAATTACCGGCGATAGCAAAGCCTCACTTTGGAGAAGAGGGGGACTTTTCTTATCTGTCTTACCTGTTCCGCTGCTGCTGCTGCTGCCGATATCACACCCCTTCTTGCTTTGGTACTAGGTAGTAATGTAGGCAAGATGCAGTCTAGATCTCTTAATCTAGATTTTGTTGCAGACTGATGTCGTTCTCAACCCATACGGAACAGAATAGCTGAGATATGTTAAGCGAGTTTTAAGATAAGAATCTGGTTTTACCAAAATGCTATGATAGTTTTCGTTTATAACTTCTTTTAATACCTCCTAGGGGCCTTACGTATCTTGACACAGCAGCCGTACACCAGGACAGCACACTTCAGACAATTGTCGCTAGTATTGACAACTAGCACTACTACAGTAGGGATCTAATAGAATGCTAAACCCAAGGACCATTGATAAACAAAAAAAGGGCTGCCTTTATGATGCGAACACGGAGCGGTCTATTACTCAATGCCATGTCGGTCTGGTTATCCTTTAAAGATGGTAAATCCACTGAGAGACAGGGGTGAGAGGTAAATATCTTATGAAGCCGCAACGAGGGCGATGATAGTAGATATGTATACTGAAGCTAAAGCTCAAATATAGTTCCCCGAACCCGTTCCTGAACTAATACAATTATACAATCTTTAAACGCATTGATTGCACGCATTTTGCTTCCTCACAGCATGCTTGTAGAACCATAATTTATGCTATGTTACGTGTGTAATAAGCGAGTACGTCAAGTATGTAACCGGCGAAAAACGAAGCTATTTGCTATTGAGAACCACCTGCAGATGAGAACAATTATTTTACGCCGGTCAAGTTTTACATGGTAATGCCTGGTAGTGATAGTTAATATACCTGGGGTTGAAATCTAAAGGAGACTACCCCCCATGGAGACCCTAATTGTGATACCACGAACATTGGGACTCGGATTAGGTATTAGACCTGGGGTATATCGAGACATAGTGAAGCTGCCCAGGTGAATCTGCAATTGTACATCTCGTATCGACTATAATGTTTGTTGAGGTGTTAATCTACACCTAATTCATTACCGAGATATACGTTTCAGCAAAGAGTTCGGGATCGTTAAAACCGACAACTACCTGATTTATTAATAAGACGCAGGGTGATGATGCTATTTGCGACATTGCTGAATTATATGGTAGCTAAATATAGAATCGTCAAGGCTGAAAATAGACAGTGATGTTTTATATGTTTGGCCTCTCATCCAGCTTAGCTGACGCCAACATTACCCCAACCCAAAGAATTGCAGCTTAGCTCTTTCTTATATTGTATCTTTTTCATCAACATCCATACTACGCTGTCCTAACTGAAGCGGACGGATCTTGGCTTAATCATCTGTGCAGCTCGCCAAAACGCTTCCCGAAGCCTATCGATCCTTGACGGCGAACCATTCAGCTTCGGCCTAGAAGCTAATTTACATAATTACCTCTACTAGGCTGAGTGATATGTCATGCCCATAATAAGAACCTCTCTCGATATAGCAGGTCGAGACCGTGGCTGACGATTTTCAACACTTAGTCACTTAGTAATAGGTATGCAGCTTTAACCTCAGGGGCTGCTGCGTCTATACGATGCTTAACAACGAGTCGTGTAGTTGAATCTGGTCAAGCCTATATCGCCTTAAAATTCGATATGGAAGGTTGCATTCGGCTAAGTACCTAGCGTCTAGGCTTCGTTTTTGGTATATATATGAATGCTGAACTACCCAAGCAGCCAGTATACAAAATCCCACAACTTCTATCACCAGAACCGAGCTAGCTCTTCACCACACTATAAATAAAGGACTAGCATATCATTTACGCCATGTTTTTCTCTAAGATCACAGCGCTTGCGCTTCTTGCGCCTTCCGCGCTCGTCTCTGCTACCCCGACCTTCAAGAACCACGGAACACTGGATGGGTGGGATGGAACGAACCACGAACATAAAGGAACTGTAACCCAAATCGACAACGTGTCTTACAACTCAGGCACGTCGATCAAGGTGGTTCAGATATACGACCCTAGCTACTCTGGCAGATACCACTCGGAAGTATACAAGACAGACGTCTACAAGGTTGGCGACGAGGGGTTCTACGGCTTCGCTTTCAGGTTGCATTCGACCTGGGACACCTCGACCAAGCAATCCTACAACATCGCACAGTTCATCAGCAACCTGGAGGACAACCCCGACAACACGTGCGGGGACGGTTTCATCCCGTCGACGATGATCTGGGTGGAGGGCAACCAGCTCATGATCCGCAGCAAGGGCGGCAACATGTGCGACAGCACGCTGAAGAAGTTCACGGTCGGCACGATCAAGCCGGGGGCGTGGCACCGCGTGGTCCTCCAGGCGAAGTGGGCGAGCGACGAGACGGGCTCCCTCAAGGTCTGGCTCGACGGCAAGCAGGCCGTGGACAAATCCGGCCTCGCTACCACGTACAGGGATGCGCAGAGGAAGTACGGTTTCCAGTTCCGCACCGGCTTGTACGCGAACAGCTGGCACGACCAGCACAGGCTGGACGGAAGCCAAGGGACGCGACAGCTGTGGATTGACGAGGTTGCTATCGGAACCAAGTATGAGGACGTGGACCCTGGTACGCAGCAGTGATCTCGTGGGCCATTCTGAATTATTTGAGACGGTTTTTTTTTCTGGTTAGGTTGTTGCTATAAATTAGGTATACATCATATTTGTTTCATTTCTTTCAGTTTTGCATATAGCATTTGATTCTTTACACATATGTGAGGGTATATGACATTTAGAGTTGTGATTCAGGAGGAGTTGCCATTTAAAGAAAAATACTTCGTAACGAGAGCAAGCAGCTGTGACCATAGCCCTATTAATAGACTTTAAGTCAAAGTTTAAATAATAAGATTAACGCTACCTAGACACCTGACAAATTACATAAATCGATGTCTCCTGAATGTATCATCAAAGTCTAATATTAGGTAAGTTTCAATATTAAATAATTACATATCTAGTAGTAATTAAGACTAAACCGAGGGGTATATACTATCAGGGTACCTTGTGTACCCTCCGCCGTCTCCACTCTTGGCAACAAGCAACATGGAAGGCGGCCGCAATCCGACCCCGAACCGGCATTCGATACAACAAACACCACATTAGTGTACCTACCTAACCTACCTACCTAGGTGCATAGTAGTATTCTTTCCAGTCGATCATAACCTTCTTTTTTTTTTTTCTCTCTTTTTTTTTGCGCCGTCGCCCATTTCCTAGTCGAAACCATATATCCCACTTCGGCCTATTATTCGAACTCGATCATTATTTACAGGTTAATATCTAGAGGCACCTAAGGTAATTTGTCGCGATACAATACGAAACTTATCATTCGCTCGACTACACATTCGCTTCTCTCCATGAGTGGCGCCGCGGTCTGGTCCCAGACGGTGGGCATTTGGTCGGGTCTGCCACCATGCTGAGCACCTCTCACAAGTCGTTGGGTACCCAGCCTACTAATTCCCCCATCGCCCCTACGCGACCGAGCCTCGATGGCGGCCTTCGACCACCTGCCGCCGGCGATGGTGCCCGAAGTATCGCCCCTACGCCCACCTCCCTCGCCCCGAGAGGTGGTGCTCCCGTCAACCCTTCTCAACCCCCGGGGAGTTTTAGTTCCGACCTACGTAGCCAGACCGCCCAGTCGCGAGCCGTTTCGAGAGCCGACGCTTACATCCGGGAAAAGCTGGACGAGGACGACGATTCTATCACCGAGAATACGCTCAATGCGTTGAAGGACTCCCTAAGCCGCGAGATGAAGATCAAGGAGGGAAGCGAGAATATGCTAGAAGCTCTAAATGCAAAGAAGGCAAAACAAACCAAGGAGCAGCGTCAGAGGGTCGAAGCCGAGCTTACAGCCGCGAATTCGAGGATAAAGGAGCTAAAGCAGAAGATCACAGATGCGCAGCGGTCCAAGGCTGTGCCCAGCACACCTACAAGAACACGCAACGACGGGTTGTTGCGTAATGAGGGCCTGCGATCCCCCCCAAGCGCGCCTAGAAGCGGCGCTGGCTCCGACTTCGATGAACCGACGGAATCCCCGACGGTGGCACTCGAAGAACTGCTATCGGCTTTAGAAGTCGAGGGAATGTCCCCTGAATATTATGTGGGGGCAGCCAACAACTTCGTGGATCTCTTCAAAAGGTACCCCACGCTGAAGTATGATTTGGCCTGGGCCGAATTCGGGGATAGAATGCAGGCCATACTGCTTAGTGGGAGTAGGGAAGTGGTGGCTTCAGGATACCGAATGCTACGATATGCCATCTCCGACATAGCCTCTCTAAAGAAGATTCGTAGCTTAAACACCGACTACATGGTGGTCGTGTCTCTCGCCAAGGACCGCAAGGCCGACGTGGAACGCGAGCAGGCTCTCAAGTTCGTCCGGGCCTTCCTGGACGTGAAGGAAGGTGTTCGCGAGGTGTCTAGGGCTGTGGTTAGGACTATAGCAGCAGTCGCCGAGCAAGTTGAAGATCGACTCCGGCCAATCTGTATCGAAACGCTTGGCGAAATCCTACTGCGAGATCCCGCATTACTTGTAGCGTCTGGCGGTTTGGTCCCGTTATCAGAAACACTTGCCGAGGGCACTTATAAATCTCCCGAATCCTTGTGCTCGGTGTTTCTCTATCTGCTAGATGCGCCACACACGCGCAAGTACTTACGAGCCGGATACGAGCTAGAGGTTCTATTCACAGCTTTCACCGACGCCCTACTCTCGTACGAGGGGGTTGTAAAGCAAAACGCAAAGGCAATTGCTTCCGCCTTAAAGAGTTGGTCTGGGCTCATGACCCTGTCTATGTTTAACTTCCGAGCGATCGGCTCTTTAATATCGAGTTTGATATTGCCTAGCGCAACGATTCGGGACACCGTGATGGATTTGCTTTATTCCCTTCTTCGCATTAAACCTCCGGCGTGGGCCACGTCGTACCTTGCAGGTCGGCGTTTGACAACATATGGAAGAGTGACGACGTTGAAATCTTCGACGCCGAGTAAAGACGATACAGTGTACGAAGACGACGGCGCGGAGCAAAACTTTGTGGAGCACTATACGGCATTGCTTCTAGCTATATTTATTAAAGCAGGCATGATGCCGAATCTGCTCCAGGTTGCACAGGGCACCGACGATCCTATGTTGAGGCGAAAAACGACACTGCTCATAGGCGAAACCCTCAAACTCGCGAGTAGAATCCTTCCGCCTTCTTGGAGTAGCGAACTGCAGTTACTTCCAGAACTGTTCGCAGCGGCCTCACATTTCGAAGACGAAGCACATTTCAATGCAACCGGAATTGTTTACCAGATTAGCAGCGTAAGCCGGACGCTTTACCGGTCGTCTCCCACAGGTTATGCTCCTGGATACCTTCCCTCTAGCAGCATGCTGGAAAACATGGGCCATGCGGAAGAGGCTCCAAAAGCCAATGCTTTGCTTAACCCGGATGATGCCACATTCCGTCAGCTACTCATAGACTCGGGAGTTCTTGGCCACTCGAATCCTTCGAAATGGGACTGGGATGTTGTCCTAAAGATAATCGAAGGACCGTTGATGAATGGTAAACGTTTGGAAGAAGCCATCAAGGCGTCGAAATTCGCAAAAAGGCTGGTGGGATTTTATCGGCCTTTTAAGTTCAAATTCTCGGAGATCAAGAGCACACGAAATACACAGAAATATGTCCGGGTTGGCTGCGCACTTATTCACACACTGCTCCAGACAGCGGAAGGAATAAAATACCTAGCGGACAATAAGCTGCTGAGGCAAATTGCCGAATGCTTAGCCCAATGCGATCCGGTAAGAACACTCGTATTAAATATATATATATATATATGGATGAGAATGCTTACTCTTATTTATAGACCAGCGGTTTAACTGCGCAGTATCCAATGTTTTCGAGAGATCGCCTCACGGATACCCTGTGTGGCGGTTATTTCCCCATGCTTGGCGTTCTAAGCAGCGAACCCAAGGGATTGCAAATGCTCGAGAGATGGCGTATCTTCAACATGATGTATCATATCATCGATTTTAAGCAAAGACCGGATCTTATCAAATTACTTCTCAGCAATCTCGACTATAGTCTTCAAGGTCACCCGCGCATACTATTATCAAAGGCTTTAACAGCCGGCACAAAGGAAATACGAATACATAGCACTACCGTACTTCGAAAGTATGCAACAAGACAACGAGTTACGCCGACAGGCCAACTTATCTCGGACTCGAAGTGGGCAATTCAACTACTTGTTACACAACTCTACGATCCAGAAGTCGAGGTTTGTGCCACAGCTGTTAAAATTCTCGAGAAGGCTTGCAATAGTAAAGCGCTGTTAGAATATATAGTGGAATGCCGGCCCGCGTTGGACCACCTTGGAGAGATAGGAGCACCTTTATTGCTCCGGTTTTTGTCCACCTCCATCGGTTATCACTATCTAGACGGCTTGGACTACATAAGTAACGAAATGGATGACTGGTTCCTTGGGCGTAACGATACCTACGTCAGCCTCATCGAAGCTAGTTTAGCACGTTCTTTCATAGATACCCATGAGGATCAGCCACACCGCCTAAGTATCTACGAAGACGACTTGGACACAGATCAGGACAACCACGTACCGCCTCATTTCTACCGAGAATTGACGCGCACGAAAGAGGGCTGTAAATTACTTGAGGACAAAGGCCACTTTGAAGAGTTTGCCTCGACAATTAGGGAGTACGGGATGCTCTCAGATGATCCTGAACTTCTCACTAAGGTTAAAGGGTGCCTATGGGCAGTTGGAAACGTTGGGTCGATGGAGCTCGGTGCTCCTTTTTTGGAATCCACGGACGTAGTAGAACACATCGTCAAAATCGCCGAATCTCATGATGTAATGAGCCTGAGAGGTACTGCTTTTTTCGTCTTAGGCTTGATATCGAGATCCACACACGGGCTAGAGATACTCTCTGAGCATGGTTGGGAATCAAACACCACACCTCTAGGGATGTCCCTGGGGCTTTGCGTCCCTTCGGATCTTTCCAAATTCTTCTCTTGCAAACCCTGGAAACACGAGATCCCCGCGAATATACAATTGTTAGATACCCAGAAAACGGCGCTCGAACCTCCACCTGTGGAGATCAACGAGCCGGACCCGACGAACCGGCGAATATTAGAGCTTATGACCGAGCTAGGCAATATGGTGCTTTATAAGAAGGCCAAGGCAGAATTGCTTCAATTGCGACAGAAAAAGGCACCAGGGTTCCGGCAGCCTTCTCTGTTCCGCAAGGTCTTGGCGTTACTAGAATGTCACCACTTTAGGCTACCAGATCGCCATCTGGTGATCGAGCTCTTCGACAAGAGCGTCCTACGACATATCCTATACGACTACGAAAGCAACGACGAATCGGCAAGCAGCTCGGGCGACGAACAGAGGACTGAGAGGCAGAGGAGCATAAGCGACCCCGCTGAGATGGAGAGGATAATAGCTAGGGGCTACAACTCGTCGATATAGCGGTGGAGTAGCAGAATAACAGAGTATCACAAGATAAACATAGCATATCGTGTTGGACCGGGATGGGGGGGCGGAGGCGGAAAAGTAAGCGTCTAGGAGCAGCAAAAACTTTGGCAGATTTTGGACAACGGCGAAGATATAGCCAGTTTGTTTGTTGTTTTGTTTTAATCTTGGGAAGCTTGATTATACTTGACTTGATTGGACTTTGGCACGATTCATCATTCATCAGCTCACTTAACTTGACCTGGCCTGTCCTGATTCAACCCACCTATACCTACCTACCTACTACTATACCTCTACTTATACCTACTATCTACTACCTTGACTGTAGAAAAAAAAAAAGAAATTTAGACGCGATATGACCCGAGAAAGGGAGAAAGGAAGGAGGGGAGAGACAAAAAGAAAAGTCGATCGCTCGTTGCAACTTGCGCATTTCATATTTCTGGGGAAAGGGGGATTAAGGGGGTGGTGATGGGTATTATCTTGCATATGGCGTGGCGGGTTAACCTCAGTTTACCTCTTACATTAGGTTAGGTGTTGATTGCACTTACTTGGGGTTTGGGAGCGGGTGGATAACACATGGGCGCCTGGATTGAACTAGGTTAACTATTTTCTGATAGTTATCATTATATCACCATTATTATCTTTAGTCTTTGACGTGGTGTTTGGTCTTGTCTTGCTTGTGTGTTTCTCCGCCTAATGTATCTACTGTACGTCTCATTTTTATATCACATATGGTCAAGGTAACTTAGGTACCTACAATTTGGGAGCTCTCAAAGAGAGGAGATTTCTGTCCTATTGATGGAATACTTCCCGGGTACAAATATGACAGGTAACACGTTATATAGGTTAGGTTAGGTTAGGTGCCTACCTAGGTACCTATATAAGAGGTAGGGAATTTCTTGCATTAGGAGTAAGTAAATGAAGACTAAGAAACCACCTCTTTGAATCTCTTCGCCACTATATAGTAGGGTAGGTACCTAACGTACCTATTAATTAATAGTGCGATATGATATGTCCATGTCCCCAACCATGGTAAATTCTCCCTCCTCAAGCAAGGTGTGTGAATATGGAAGTCTGACGAAGATCCCCTTGATATCATGGGCTAGAACGTGGTCTTCGGTTGTGGTGCTATAGGTAGGTACCTAGGTAGTCATAGCTTCCCGATGCAAACACTGTTGGTCCATTGGCGGCCATATCCGCGGAACTCGTTTGCTCGAATCTTCACCACTTTTGTCTAGCCCCCCCTCTTTCCCCCTACCTAGGTACCTAATCAAGGATACAGCTGCAGCGCCCGGCTCATCAGAGCAGGAGTGACCTCGCAGATCTCGCGCAGGTACAGCTCGAGCGTGTGCCGGGGCGAGGGCGGGCGCAAGATGCCGCGGATGTCGAGGTCCATGCTGAACCAGATCTGGAGCATGACGAACAGCCACTCGCGGCCGCGCTCGTCGAGCAGGCGCATGTCGCGCGCCCACCGCAGCTTCGCCCGCACGAACTGCACCACGCGGTGCTCGTCGTGCGCCACCTCCCGCAGCCCCAGCTTGCCGTGGTCGAAGCGCACCGCCGCCACCGCCGCGTCCGCCGCGAACCGCCGCGACAGGTCCACGAGCACCTCCCCGAGCCCCGCGCGCCGCAGCGCCCGCCGGTCCTCCCGCGTCAGCTCCCGGCTCCACCACGCGGCTGCCGCGCCCCGCAGCAGGGCTTCCAGCCACGAGAGGATTTGCCGCTCGTTGGACGGGGCTGTGGTTGGGTCCTGCAGGAAGAATTCGATGTGCTCGACGAAGAGGTCGACGTCTGTGAAGATGACGACAGTAGTGGTGGCGGTGGTAGTGGCAGTAGTAGCAGTAGTAGCAGCGCTACTGTTGCCGTCGGGAACAACGACCATGCCCGTTCCCCGCTCGTCGGCGTGGCCGGGGTCGAAGCGGCCGATATCCTCTCGTCTGAGCTGCGGGATTGGGGGGGAGGCAACACTGGGGATGGGAATAGACGGGGGAGTCTGTACGACGGCATTTGGGGTCGTTGCCTCATGGTGATGGTGCTGATGATAATGATGATGATGAATGGGCGGTTCGGATGGCTTGTCTTTTCGGATGATTTCTTGTACGAGGAGAACCACGTTGGCTACGCTTTCCGCGATGCTGTTTACTTTCTTGTCGAAGCGGTCTACTTGTTGGGATAGGTGGTCAATCCTCGCGGTTAGGCACCGAGCTGTATCGAGGCTCACGCCGTGGTCAGGGAGGGGTTCCAGGAGGGATAGGAACGAGGCGGCATCAGCCTGTCCGTCTGAGGCTTTTTCGGTAGCCATTGTGAGCGGGTTCATGTGGTACGCTTGTTGGCTACCTAGTTTAATGTGTAAAGATTTGAGATTTGAGTATTTTGAATTCGACGGGATTGAATGCACGCAGAAGATGGATTTAAATAATTATACGAGGCTCGTGAGTCAGGCAAATAAGTTGCCTTGGCAGATCTGCCGGCTGTTGAGGTTGTAACCACGTCAGGCATACGCCAGGTGCTCGCAGTCACCTGGCAACAGTAGCCTAGCAGTAAGAGGTTTATCTTACACATCATGGTGATGTTTTGGAAGTTTGTTTGTCGTTGAATGCAGTGACTCACGGTCATGTGAAAAGGGACAACACTAAGTACCTCTAACCTAATTATCTTTTGGGTTCAAAGCTTGGGACACTGTGAAGACCAACAGTATGGTTGAGTACCTAACCTAGATGGAGAGAACGCCGTTCGGGTATTCATATCAACAAATCCATGACGGAGTATATATCGCTATTATGGTGCGTGGATAGCATCGCTGGAGAAATGTCAAGAATGTGTATTCTATTCTATTTTGACGTCAACGCCAGCGGTCACTAACTCTCAGCTGATACTTAGATGAGTGAGATATAGATTTGGGACTAGCACTTAGATAGATTAGGTAGGTAGGTATGTTAACTGCTCCGGTCATAACCGTCAACTGAGAAAAGGGGGTGCTATCCGCATACCAAAGAAGAGAAGACCTTACGGAAATAACCACATCATTCATGCTGGATAAAAGTCCCGGGCTAATGTTAACTTGCCATCTAGTCTAGGTCTCTCGAATCAATCCACAGTAGCTCTCTAAGAATAGATGTATCGTTTCCTCTTACTACTCCTCGTCTTAAGATACGCTTTATCTGCCACCTCTTTGGGCTGGCATCTTTATCACAATAGCGTCGAGAAATCTTGGTCGGAAGCCACCCCGAACATTACGAGCAGTATTCATATCTCTGCTTTTCATGTCATCGAAGTCATGTTACGTTAAGCTCGCTAGCTCCATAATGACATGATACCTCTTCTAGAGCTGAACTTCCCTTGCCCTCATATAAGCCGCAACGTATGATAGCCTAGACACCGTAACTACGAGTATCTATACGCCTATATGGAAAAATTCATTTCGTGGGGTCATTGCGTCGCCAAAAGAGTTCCCTTCTTAATAGATTACAGCGTCATTCCCATATCAAGTCTCAACACACTGACAGCAAGTAGGTAGCTAGGTGTTTCCTTCGAGCTCATGCAATTTATTCTAATGAAACATGACCAGTCTAGTGAGGCGGTTCTTACGGCTCAATAATGGCATGTGAAAGGCTAGACCATGAACTGCTTTAAGTGATAGCTGAAGTATTCGAAGAGTCAGCTATGTTTGTCATAGCTCATGTTCAAGGATACCTACCTCTACATAAGCAAAAGTTAGCCAAACGTATTAGCAAGATAGAAGAAAGGAGACAGCCGCGGTTCTAACCCCTTAACATAAAGACGAAGAGACGGTGCATCGGAAGAAGCAATGGCTGCATAATGCGATGCTTGAAGAAACCCACGTGATTGATCCCGCATATATGTTTCTTATCATACTTGCGGTGTCTAAAAATAACTATTATCGAAAAAAGACGCTCTCTTCGATTGAAGAAGCTCGCTTACACCACTCGCATTTCCCAGATTTCCACACACTATTATAGGAACTACGATGACACGTTTCTTCTTCACGTTGCAAACCCCAAAAGAAAGAAAGAAAAAGTCTATACATCAAGGATATTTCATCGTATTTCCGAATGCTACGGAGCGAACCTGCCGAGACTCGTCATCCTTTTGAACGATCTACCTTCAAAGCCGGCATCCGAGTTGCGCCATTCCGCTCATGGGTAGAGCATATTAACGAATGCGTGGGTTTAGTGGATGGCCGTAAGAGCTACGACAACGTAACAATCCATTCCAATTAATTTATTCATTCTCTATTATTATTCTACTTTTAGGTAGGTAGGTATATAACGTGATCTTTTCGGTTGAAAAATTTTGCGGCCAGTGGTTCTAGGGGATTGGAAGGTTATGCAATGCAGGGCAGATGGAAGGTTGCTTTTAGGATATTTTCAAATTAATATAATATATACCTATTCCTTACCCCCTACCCCCTACCCCCTATTACCTACCTAGTACTGCCACCATTACCCTGTCACTTTCAACCGTCTACTGCGTGAAGGGCTGGACTAACGAGGCGAGCCTTGGCAGGCCGAAGGAACTTGATTCCAATGTCGCTTTCTAACCCACCGACGCGTCTACGAACCCCACACGAAGCACTCGCATTAGACGCCCTCTGGCTTTGCCGACTATCTGGGGAAAGATGACGAGTCGCTCTTAAGATGTTTTCATTATCAAAACAGCCGGCCGGTCGTGGAGAACATCTCTTCAACCGATTTCTCCCCGGTCCGTATACCTTAGGTATTCATCCCTGGTAGAGCCGAGGCTTTACGTGAGCCTGCTTTACGCGAGCCTCCTCAATATGAACTAACGAAACTGCTTTTACTGGGAAGAGCTATCAATTTGTCGTAGACATGGATACTACTGGTGCAGCTTGGTGAAGCTGATGTAGTATGCCTTCGTAAACGCTCGATCGGACTTGCAGCGTCGACAACGTACGGTACGAAAACTCCTTCGACCTCGTGTTCGTGCCCTGACCATCAGAGTAACATCCGGCCAGCCCAGCCCTTTCTGAAGGCGCCATGACGGCTGCAACGCAACTCAATATGTGCTCCTGCAATACCTTTTTTGTGAGTGGCTCGTTAATGTAGGTGGTCTGCTGCCAAGGTAGCATCCGGGTATATATACAATGTTCCTCACAGGGTTGATCAAGCTCCGATTCGGAAACCATGCGTTTTTCTGAAAGCTTTTTTTTTCTCTTCTGGATCGTCACTTCTTCTCATGGTATTCGAGTACGCGTGGCTCTACATGCTAAGAATGCAACCTCTGTACCATCCCCATGTCTTGGCCTGAGATCTGTTGATCTATTAAGATAGCTCAACCCCCAATCTCCTTGTCCTACTTCCGTGAGCCCTGGGAACACTCGTGGTCTGGAAACCCGTTGCGCTTAGCCCTGACCCTTCGCTTCGTAATATCGGGACTACGCTATATTTATCGCGATGCGCTGGTGGAACACTCTCGTCCTGGCTGCGTGCGCTGGCCAGACAGCTGCGCACGCGAATCACAACGACCATGGCCTGCCAAAGCTTGCTGGGGCTCGAAGATTTCTGTCCGAGTTTAAGGAGGGAAGGAGATGGGATGACCAGGCGCGGGCCATACGGAGAGCAGAAATGATAGAGGCTCGGGACGAGGAGGAACTCGAGAAGCGAGCTGAGCTTGAACCGCGACAGAGAGGCGCACGGTGTGGTAAGAGCCGCGGGAGTTGCGCGGCCAACCAATGCTGCTCGGCCGAAGGGTTAGCCACCTGGGTCTTTTTATGATTTTGCTGATGTTTTACTGATCGGACTCAGTTATTGTGGTACGGGAGAAGATTACTGCACTTCACCCGACTGCCAAATCAACTACGGGCCGGCATGCGACGGTAACCAGAAGCCTGACGGCGAGGATACGTCGTCTATTGCGCGAACGAAAGTGGGCAAGGTACAATATGGCGGCGTGGGCATTTACGACTGTGTAAACAAAGGTGATATTGCTGTCACCTTTGACGATGGCCCATACGAGTATACCAACGACCTCCTCGACAAATTGACCGTATGTAATATGTTTTTTTCTTCTTCCTTATAAGATCTTGAAGGCTATGCTAACAAGGATAAAGAAATATGAAGCGAAAGCCACCTTTTTCATCACCGGTAACAACATAGGAAAGGGAAAGATTAATGACCCAGCCTTGCCCTGGGCTTCCGTCATCCAAGTATAACACTTCACCTTAGGTACTCAGAGAATTTTGAGGGTGAATACTAACCAAGTCGTAGCGAATGGCGGCCGAAGGTCATCAGATCGCGAGCCATACGTGGTCACACGAAAACTTCAGCCAGTTGACTACAGCTCAGTTCAAGAATCAGATGATATGGAACGAGATTGCGTTCAATGATATTCTTGGATACTTCCCTACCTATATGAGGTTTGCATTCATTTACACCTCCCCTCAGGAGGGAATAAGACTCGTACTAATCTTGGGGCAGGCCACCCTATTCCATATGCCCCGCTGCTTGTCAGACTCAGTTAGCTAACCTTGGATATCACGTCGTGTACTTTGATCTGGACACGGAAGGATACCTTCACGACGACCCCAAGCAGATCCAGACTAGCAAGGACATCTGGGACGATGCAGTCGATGGGTCCAGCCCGTGCGAGGATAGTTACCTCGAGATCGAGCACGACATCCACTACCAGACCGTCTACAACCTCACAGACTATATCCTCGAGTCGCTCTTCAGCCACGGCTATAGGTCCGTGACCGTCGGGCAATGCTTAGGCGACCCCCCGGAGAACTGGTACCGTGCCGGTACCGGTAAGGTCCCCGAGTATAGCTTCACCATCCGTGCTCCGACCGGCACCTGGTCTTGCCTGAGTCCTACACGCACCACCAGCACAAGCAAGCCGACTAGCACGCTAAAGGTCAGCACGGACGGCCGATGCGGCGACGGCGTAACTTGCGTGGGCTCTAAATACGGAAACTGTATGTATACCACCCTGGCGACGGCCCTGAGCATAAGTTTAATCCACGCCACTAGGCTGTTCTACTAACCAATGGTGCGGCGGCTCCATCGACTACTGCGGTTCGAACTGCCGCCCGGAATTCGGCACCTGCTCCTCGGCGGACTCGCAGATCCCAACTAACCTCCCGCTCCCGAACGGGCCGGGGACTCCTGACGACCCCGTGACTACCGCAACGTCCGGACCTGCCCCCACCGGAACGCTTACGCCTTCGATTGAGGGAAACTGCGGTGACGGATTCACGTGCGAGGGATCGGGATTTGGAAACTGCTGTTCACAGTCAGTGTAGTTCTCATTTTAACGCTTTCTTACATATCTTGCAGCCTGTGGCGGCTGTTGTTCTGGGATGTGGGGCTCTGGACGAGTCCCGCTTCATGTAACGAGATGAGATACGAAAGCCTATGAATGAAGTCAATCGTTTTTTTTGGGAGGGCAATGTTACTAACTTGATTTTTTTCGAACTGTACCTAGACACGGCTGGTGCGGCTCGACAATCGACTACTGCGGCTCAGGGTGCCAACCAGGATTCGGATCAGGATGCCAGGCAAGCGACCCATCTCCCTCCCCTCCGGCAACTTCACTACCTCCTACCAGCACCAGTGCGTCGCCCACCTCATCATCTACCGTCACCACTCCGTCTTCAACATCAACATCAACATCAACATCAACATCAGTGACATCACCACCACCGGCATCAACAACAACAACTAAGACGGGGACGAGCAGTAGTAGCAGTAGCAGTAGCAAAACGACCAAGACCTCGAAATCCACTAGCAAGTCCTCGTCGTCCACCAAGAAATCCACCTCGCATTCAACTTCCCACTCGACGTCTCATTCCACCAGCCATTCTTCTTCGAAGACCAAGACGACCAAGACTAAGACGGAGGATCGAAGGGCTGAGGAGACACAGGGGGGACTAGGTTAGGTAGATTTGTATTTATTAGTATTAGTATTGGCTTTAGGCTAGGTACCTAGGTAGTTATACCTGTGCCTGCCTGCTATTACCTAGGTGCCTACTTACTTCAGTGTTTTTTTTATAGTGAGGAAGAATAAGAAAGGAATAAGAGAAGAGAGTTAGTCGTATGGGAAAACTGGTTGTTTCACAGTGTAATTTACATAGGGGGGGGGGATATAATATAAAACAAAATAAAGTAAGAAGCTGTCGAAAGAACTAAATTAGTGTTTTTAAAGGGATAGCATTCGGAGGAGTAGGTACCTTCTCCGTGATGAAACTCCTGATGATGGGTTGAAAGGGGGATATTAATAATATGTATGTTCTATAACTGACGAGGCCGTCCCGATTCTGAATTCTTGTATTGTACTTGGGTAAGCTGTCTTCAACTGGGTTTATGAATCTGCAAGTCTCTTTACAATCTAGGACATATCACTGACTCCAACGACAACAAAAGACTATTCAATTCTTCATCAGGAGTAAGTTTCTTTTTTTTTTTTTTTTTTTTTTTTTTTTTTTTTAAAATAAAAAAAAAATATAAAAAAAAAAAAAAAAAAAAATAATTTTTTTTAAAAAAAAAAAAAAATATTATTATTTATTAAAATATTAAAAAGTAACAATT